GCTCTTACACCAGGAACAACAGGTAAACTTAAAATCTTAGAGGCCTTCCCAGAACTGAGATTAATCAGAAGCCAACATGGTGGATTAGCATCCAAAATGGAATTGCTTTAGCTTTCACAAATACCTAAAACTTTAAATAATCAAGACAGAGCAGTATAAACATGTTTTCGGAAATTTGAGGTGAATACTAGGAGGAAGTTAAAAAGTTGCAGCAATTATCTCTGGGAAGTAAGAATTAGATGTGAGAAGAATAGAATGTTTAATTATAACCTATGTTGATCTATTTGACTTTTTAAACTATGTACTTGTTCTACTTTGATAAAAATAAAAATTAAATTTAAAAATAGGCCGTGCACAGTGGCTCACGCCTGTAATCCCAACACTTTGTGAGGCCGAGGTGGGTGGATCACCTGAGGTCAGGAGTTTGAGACCACCTGGCTAACATGGCAAAACCCTATCCCTACTGAAAATACAAAAATTAGTTGGTCTTGGTTGGGGGAGCCAGTAATTCCACCTGCTTGGGAGGCTGAAGCAGGAGAATCACTTGAACCCGGGAGGTGAAGGTTGCAGTGAGCTGAGATCACGCCACTGCACTCCAGCCTGGGCAACAGAGAAAGATTCCATCTCAAAAAATAATAACAATAATAAGTGAGGTAGCTAACCTCTGACTTGTGGACCTTCCACAAACACAATGAAACATATTGAGTGGACCAGCAGTCTTTAAACTGACATCAACTTTTTTAATTCTGTGGTGAAAGATAAGAATGTAGGTATATTGTTTGTTTAACTTTTTTGATTTTTGTTTGGTTTGGTTTTTTGGGTTTAGAGACAGGGTCTTTCTTGCTTTGTCACCCAGGTTAGGGTGCAGTGGTGCGATCATGGCTCACTACAGCCTCAAATTCCTTGGGCTCAAGCTATGCTCCCACCTCAGCCTCCTGAAGTGTTGAGGCTATAGGTGTGAGCCACTACACCTGGCTATATCTTGTTATATAGAAATTTAGCATGCCAAATTCAAACTTATTCAATGTACAATATCTGTTGACAGGACCTTGCTATACTCGTCTGTCATGTTTCAATAGGTATATTTCTCTGTTTATTTATTAATACGGTTTAGTTTTTTTTGCCAATGTTGTATTTGTGTTTCCATTTAATTTTAGCTCGATCAAGCCAATTGCTTCCACAAAACACCAAAAACAAAATACTGAAATTTGACAGAAGCTGGGTGACTATTTGGTGCAATCGATCTATTTAATTATGATTTTCTCCTGCTTAATTATTTGAGCTATTTCAACAAACAGTATTTTGCATTAGTATATATTATTTTAGTGTTATACTTTCTCATGAAATAATGAGTTTACTTTCAATATGTGTCTTTGAAGAGCTTGCTACACTTACTAATGTAGCCTTGACTTATCTTTAAACCAAAATTTCCTCCAAATGAACATATCTCTCATTTTATTCTGCAAGTCCATGAGAGGATGATATTCACTGTACAGAAATTTAACCATGTTACAAGTGAATTTTATTCCTGTGTGATAGCTAAAAGGTCACAAGGGAAAGAAAAATATTGAATTTTTGTCTAGTGTGAAACACCAGTTGTAGAGTCCTTTGTTTATCTCCCCAAAGAAGAAAAGAGTAACAACTCATATAAATACCATTGGAGGAGTATAACCTTTATGGAAGGCAATATGGTAATATAGCAAAAACCCTTTAAAAAGTTAATATCCTAAATTAAAACCAAAATGAGACACCATTACACACCTAGAAGAATAGCTACTTTTTTTTTTTTTGAGACGGTGTCTTGCTCTTGTCACTCAGGCTGGAGTGCAATGGCATGATCTTGGCTCACTGCAACCTCCACCTCCCGGGTTCAAGACAGTCTCCTCCTCATCCTCTAAAGTAGCTGGGATTACAGGCCCCTGCCACCACACCCAGCTAATTTTTGTACTTTTAGTAAAGACGGGGTTTTGCCATGTTGGCCAGGCTGGTCTCGAACTCCTGACCTCGTGATGTGCCACCTTGGCCTCCCGAAGTGCTGGGATTACAGGCGTGAGCCAATGTGCCCAGCCGTACTTTTTTTTTTTTTTTTTAAATGGACAGTATCAAGTGCTTGCAAAGATGAGGACGATTGGAACTCATACATTGCTGATGGGAAAGAAAAACTGTATAAGCACTATGAAAAACAGTCTGGGGACCAGGTGCAACAGCTCACACTGGTAATCCCAACACTTTGGAAGGCCTAGGCAGGAGAATCGCTTGAACCTAGGAGATGAGACCAGCCTGGGCAACATGGCAAGACCCCATCTCTATTTAAAAAAAATAAAATAGGCTGGGTGTAGTGGCTCACACCTGTAATCCCAGCACGTTGGGAGGCTGAGGCAGGTGGATCATGAGGTCAGGGGTTCGAGACCAGCCTGGCCAATATGGTGAAACCCCGTCTCTACTAAAAATGCAAAAATTAGCCAGGCATGGTGGCACGTGCCTATAGTTCCAGCTACTTGGGAGGCTGAGGCAGAAGAATCACTTGAACCTAGGAGGCAGAGGTTGCAGTGAGCCAAGATCACGCCACTGCACTCCAGCCTGGGCAACAGAGCCAGACTCTGTCTCAAAAAATACATAAATAAATAAATAATAAAATAAAAGAGGCCAGGCATGGTGGCTCATGCCTGTAATTCTAACACTTTGGGAGGCCGAGGCGGGAGAATCACTTGAGCCCAGGAGTTCAAGACCAACCTAGGCAATATGGTAAAACCTTGTCTCTACAAAAAAATTTAAAAATTAGCTGGGTGCGGTGCCATGAACCTGTAGCCTCAGAGGCTTGGGAGGCTGAGATGGGAGGATGGCTTGGGCCCAGGAAGGAAAGGCTGCAGTGAGCCAAGATCATGCCACTGCACTCCAACCTGGACAACAGAGCTATGCCATCTCAAAAGAAGAAAAGAAAGTAAAACAGCCCGGCAGTTTTTTTTACAAAGCTAAACATACGCTTCCCGTACAATCCAGTACTCAGTATCTATTTCTTCCCACTCCTACGTATTTACTCAAGAACAATAAAAACATATGTCTGCTCAAAGACCTGTACTCAAGTATTTATAGTGTTTTTATTCATGGTGACTAGAAAGAGGTGGCTGTGGTGGCTCATGCTTATAATCTCAGCACTTTGGGAGGCCGAGCTGGGCAAATCACTTGAGCCCATGAGTTCGAGACTAGCCTGGGCAACATGACAAAATCGTGTCTGTATAAAAAATAAGAAAAATTTTAAAACCTGCCAGTCATGGTGGCATGCACATATAGTCCTAGCTACTCAGGAGGCTGAGAAGAGAATCACTTGAGTTTGAGGCTGAAGGGAGCTATGATTCCACCACTGCACTCCAGCCTAAGCGATAGAGTGAGACCCTATTTCCAAAAAAAAAGAGAGAGAGAGAGGCTGGGTGTGGTGGCTCACGCCTGTAATCCCAGCACTTTGGGAGGCTGAGGCAGGCAGATTATCTGAGGTAGGGAGTTCAAGACTAGCCTCATCAACATGGAGAAACTCCATCTCTACTAAAAATACCAAATTAGCCAGGCGTGGTGGCAAATGTCTGTAATCCCAGCTACTCGGGAGGCTGAGGCAGAAGAATCACTTGAACCTGGGAGGCAGAGGTTACGGTGAGCTGTCTCAAAAAAAAAAAAAAAAAAAAAAAAAAAAAAAACAAGACAGAGTCTCGTTCTGTTGCCCAGGCTGCAGTGCAATGGCACAATCTTGGTTCACCGTAACCTCTGCTTCCCGGGTTCAAGCGGTTCTCCTGCCTCAGCCTCCCAAGTAGCTGGGACTACATGTATGTGCCACTATGCCCAGCTAATTTTTGTATTTTTTGTGGAGATGGGGTTTCACCATGTTGGTTGGCCAGGATAGTCTCGATCTCTTGACCTCGTGATCCGCCCGCCTCGGCCTCCCAAAGTGCTGGGATTACAGGCATGAACCACCGCACCCGGCCGAGACTTTGTCAAAAAAAAAAAAAAAATTGAGAGAAAGAGAAAGATAAATGCTAATGTAGATTTGGACATACCCAGAACTACAGAATCGGGTACTATGGGGGTGAGGTCCAGAAATCTGTATTTATTTATTTTATTTTATCTTTGAGATAGAGTTTTGCTCTTGTCACCCAGTTTGGAGTGCAGTCGTTGGCCAGGCTGGTCTCAAATTCCTGACCTCAGGTGATCCGCCCGCCCCAGCCTCTCAAAGTGCTGAGATTACAGACATGAGCCACTGCACCTGGTCAGAAATCTGTATTTTAATTAGTTTTCCAAGTTTAAAAAACTTTCCAGGTGATTCAAATGCACTTTGACATTTGAGAACCAATGGTGTAGGAGAAAAAGCTCACTGGTGCCTGTGTCCTTGTTCTGGTTTAGCCTAGCAGCTATATGACTAACCATGGCTGAATCCCTAAATCTCTCAAAACTCAGTTTTACAGGGTATAACAAGGGGTTTAGAATGATGCCTGAGGGCCCTTCTGTTCTAAAATTCTGTGAAAGAAAGTAAATAACTGTTGCAATTACTAGATTCATTCAATCAACAATCAACAAACACTTATGTACCAGGCAGCGTTCTGTTCATGGAATCAATGTATGACACAAAATTACAATTGAAATATTGTAACTTATCGTTTATAATTAAATGACTTGCAAATTTTCAGACCACAAACTTTTACTGGTCCTCAATTTACAAGATTCTCATACTGCATCTTGTGTAATGTGAACTGGAAAACTAAGAAAATAATCCAAAGGGTCATTTTTCCAAAATTACTTTTTTTTTTTTGAGACAGAGTCTCACTCTGTCACCTAGGCTGGAGTGCAGTGGAGCAATCTCAGCCCACTACAACCTCCTGCTCCTGAGTTCAAGCAAATCTCCTGCCTCAGCCTCCTGCGTAGCTGGGATTACAGGCATGCACCACCACGCCCAGCTAATTTTTGTATTTTTAGTAGAGACCGGGTTTTGCTATGTTGGCCAGGCTGGTCTGGAACTCCTGGCCCACCTGCCTCGGCCTCCCAAAGTGCTGGCATTACAGGCGTGAGCCACCGCGCCTGACCTCAGTCAAGTTTCAGTATATCTACAAGGACAGGAGATGGCGCCAGAAGGCAGTGGGATGCTTGGTTTTGGTTTTAAGGGTTTTAGCCAATGCAAGCAAGGAAAGGGCTTGAGAGTGAGGTCAGAGCTAAAACAAAGGTGCCAGAGTTTGAGTGGAAACTGAGACCGGATGGGGAGAGGGAGCTGTGTCACTTTTTTTTTTTTTTAACTTACATATAAGGGTCCTCTTGACACCTACTCCAAATCAACACAGCTAGAAAGCGACAACAGAAATATCCACAGTAAAGCCAAAGATCAAGATAAAGTCAAGTGCCTGGAGGACGGCGCTCGCCTCCTGGCTCCCTCTGTCCTAGAAAGGAGGGCCTTTGTCATCTGGGAAGCATAAGCACCTGGATGCGTTGCTCACCCAAGATCAGGGAAGTGTTGATTCCGGGCTAAGATATCTTTGTGGAACAATGTTCAGTTGTGTAGGCAAAATCTCAAAGCCCAGCAGCAGTGAAATACCTCCCAGAAGGAACCATACACAAAACATCTTATATTACAATTTAAAAATTCATAGACGAGCCAGGAGGTGGCGCCTGGCAAGACACGCTATCTGCCTTGGGAATTGGAATCTCAGCTCAGTGCTCCACGGAAACTCTGTCCCGGTGGAGAGGTCATTCTGTTCAGACCTCTTCTTTCCTACTAAATCTCTTTTCTCATATGAAGATGTCTCTGCTTTCTTTTTTTGTTTCTTTGTGTTAAGTACCCTGATTCCCGGGAAGTCTAATTTATACTTCAAGCCTTTATTCTTCTTAGATGGGATGGATGGGGCTCTGGGGAACCTCAAAACATAAAACTTTCCTGAAGGGGACAAATAATTCAGAGGGTGGTAGGAGAAGAAGGGAAATGACATCAGCAAAATGGCTTTGCTTTGCAGATCAATCACGGGGGACAGAAAGGCACAGTGAGCTCCTGTCTCTGCAGGAGCTGATGATCCAGCACATGCATTATTCTGTTCATTTGGCTTTTATCCTGCTCCCTTATTTAGCTTCTGCTCCCTTTGTTTGGCTATTTATTGCTACTCGGCAGGAGCAAGGAAGGCAGAAGGAGCTTCAAATGGGTGCATCCTCCTAGCTGGTGCCTCTGGTGAAGGGCATGGAGAAGAAAGAGGTTTCAATGTCTGGCTTGAAAGCATCTGTGGGTTTCACATTCTCTAACGAGGGATTTAGGATGTACATTCCAATCGGGATTTCCAGTCCCGTGGGGAGCAAACATCAGCTCACATTCCTGAGACGCGCAGCCTCCATACTCCACTGCCGCAGCTCCTTGGTGGCAGGTTTCATTCAGTGCCACATGTCCTGCCTCAGCCCTTTGTTGGGCTGGAGGGAAGACCCTGGGCCCCTCTTCCATCTGGATCACATGGTCTCTCCGGTCCCTCCCCTCTCTTTCTCTGGAGACCGCCTTTTTCTGATGGTGGTAGTGATTGTTCCCAAAGTCTCTCCTTCTTTCCTCCTGCCCTGGCCTCTCTGCCAGAGGTCAGTGTCCTCTTCAGTGACAAAAGCCGCCCTAGATCTGGGCTCCCTGGAGAGGGAGGTGGCTGGGTCTGGCAGTTACAGCCGCTGTCTCTCCATGGTGCTGCTACACCCCTCCCCCACTGGGCACACAAATGGGCTTTATCCAGCAAACAACGCTCCCCCCACCCCAGGCCACACAGGCACGTGGACCCAGGCCTCACCGTGGGAAGGGGGTGGTGACAGGCACAGAAGAGATTGCTCCAGATGAGTTCTCCTCGCCTTACTTCTCTTCCTTAGAACTCAGGACACAACTCAGGTTTTAGTTCTTACTTCGTCCACCCCTCGCCTGCACCCTGAGTCCCCAATTCCTTCTTGTTATATATCTCCTAATTCTGGACTCTTCCCATTCCAGGGCAGCTCAGATTCTGCAGGAAATTGGGAACAGGTACCCCCACCACCTGCCCCATACCACCCAGGCAGCTGCTCCTCAGAGGTGAAGCCAGGCGGAGGGATGAAAATACAGTGTCCTCTTGAGGGGGCTGAGTTGAACCCCAAAACCCCTTCCTTGACCCCGCCTGCTCCAGAGAACACCTGTCTAAGCAGCATCTGTGTGACTAGCAGAGGAAGGAAGAGCTCACCGCAGCTGGGCTCCTGAGCCAGGGCAAGGGCTCCAGTGAAACTTGCCGCGCTCCAGCTCCGAGTGGGGCCATCCTGCATGCCTAATTGGCTATTTAAGGAGCTGTTCACCAGCAGCCCAGGCAGCACCCCCCTCCACACATACACCCGTCCAGAGCCACCTTAAAAGCAGGAGGCAGTTGTAAAGTCGCTGGCCAGCTAGTGGAGTGGAGACTGCAGAGGGAGATAAAGAGAGAGGGCAGAGAAAGAGGCAGCAAGAGATTTGTCCTGGGGATCCAGAAACCCATGGTACCCTACTGAACACCAAATCCCCTGGAAGCCCACAGAGACAGAAACAGCAAGAGAAGCAGAGATAAATACACTCACGCCAGGAGCGCGCGCGCTCTCTCTCTCTCTCTCTCTCTCTCTCTCCCCCCCCCTTCCCTCCCTCTCTCTCTCTGCCTGTCCTAGTCCTCCAGTCCTCAAATTCCCAGTTCCCTGCACCCCTTCCTGGGACACTATGTTGTTCTCCGCCCTCCTGCTGGAGGTGATTTGGATCCTGGCTGCAGATGGGGGTAGGTACAACTAAATGTCTGTGTGTGGATTTGTACTGATGTTCACATGTCGCCAGGTGTGCCGAATGTGGGGAGGAGAGGTGTGAAAGGAAGCCTAGAAGTTGGAATAATAGGCTCAGAGATGAGGAAAAAACAGCAGGGTGTGGAGGAGACCACTTCCCTTCTTTACCTTTTGTCTCTCCAGCCTTGCTGTTATTGGAGGTCGGGGAGAACTAGCGGCGGGCAGGGTGTGTACATACGCAAGTGCTGGAATTTCTTGCAGGCTACAGATTTTCTCCAGAGCTCTTTCCCCCACCCCCTGGTCCCAGGCAGGACTCCTGGACTTCTTTATTTACAAACTCCTCCAAACAGGGAGTCAAAGAGGCCTGGGGTGAAAAGAGGATAGATGGGGGTAGGGGGAAGAATACTTCCTGCCCAACTCAGACCCTGATCTCCAATTCATCCCCTTTTGGCCAAGATTCCCTCTTCATTCTGTGGAGTGACTAACTCCCCGGTTATCCTCTGAAAGTGGCAGTAAGAGTCAACATTTGTTTGACACTTTACAAAGGACTTTCAGGAGCTCCCAGGAGATGAGGAGGGATTCTTGGGAGAACAGGCCGAAGCGCTCCAGGAGTGTCCCCAGGAACTCCTAGACCTCATTTTTGTGTTTCCTGTGCCTAGCACAGTATCCAGCACATACTAGGTGTGTAACTGAGGTTTGTGGAAAGAGCAGGGTGAGGGGGGTGTCCAGAGAGCAGAAGGCAAATGCAGAGAGGATGGGGGCAGGTGGGCAGCCAAATGGAGAGTCACAAATCTCATCTGAGGAGAAAGAAAAAAATAGGGAAAGAGGAGGAAGAGACATAATAAGTGTGTTGAGGCTCTGACCAGAGGGGACGGGCACCTTACAGACCAGGGAGTTCGAGTTGTTGTGGGGTCCCACAGAGATGGTAAATGAGAGGCTGCCTCCAGCTCTCCCTTGGGCCAGCAGAATAGGTCGAGGATAAGAGCAGGACAACTCACAAGTTTGAGAAATTTAAGGGAATAAGAGAGAGAGAAAGAGGAAGGAATTTAGGATTTTTCTCCAGAGTTTCTAGTAGTATGAATATTGCAGCATAAACCACGAAGCCCTTCGTTTTCTTCTTGAGGCAGTTTGGCCGTATGGAGGGGCTGGACCTGCAGACCCTCAGCCTTTGAGTCAGACAGGGCTGCACGAGAGCCTGGCATGTGACCCAGCTGGCAGCTCTCTTCTCTACACACAATGCTTCACTTTCATCCTGTCCCTGCCAGCCTGGCCGCCTGTGCCCACCCACCACTCTCAATCTACAGTAGACCCTGCCCTGACTCCTGCCCTTCCCTAACCATCTGGGAATGTAGGGAGCAGAGCCTCCTGGTGATGAGGAGTTTCCTCTAGAGCTAATGGGACCAGAAGGGAATAATTTACATATGATTTTACAGCTCAGTGCCTTTATTCACGCAATTTTGCAAAGCAAAGGAATAATCCCCCCTTCTGCCGTCAGTAGCACCCCCCAAAACACACTCTGAATTCCTTTCTCCTCCCCACTTTCTAGTCCCTATCCTTCAAAACCTCTGCCCACACCCTCACCTCACCCATCCCAATCTTCTAAGTGTTAGATTGACTTGGCACAGGTTAGAGAAAAGTAAGGGTTGGGCCAATCGCACATTTGGATCCAGGTTAATTTTAGTCTCTGGGCTTTACCTCTTTTCCTTCCTCCTCCCCTTTTACTCGGCGGGCACCAGCACAGACTGGCTGGTGATTTTAAATAGGCCCCCCGACCTTTCCACAGAGGTGTCCAGTTTCAGGGCTTCCTTTGGAAAGTGCTGAAGCAGAGGGAGGAGAGACAGCAGAGAGGGAGGTGGAGCAGTACAGAATGCTGGAGGGAGGGGAGCGTGGAGGACACAGCTCCGCCTCAGGCTGCGCTGGCTGTAACCCAAACTATTCTGCCTTGCAGGTCAACACTGGACATATGAGGGTGAGCAGATCTTGCGGCCTCCCGACAACCCCTTCACACTGGGACCTCCTCACCTGGCAAGAAGACACACTGTGCGGGTGGGAGGAGACTTCCTTTAGCTTCTCACCCTAGCTCCTCCCTTCTGGATCTCCTCCTGCCTTGAGTTTCGCATATATGGCTCCTAGATCCTGCTCTAATCATCAAATCCTACACCTCCTGATTTGGCAGAAAAGCTAGTTAAGTCCTCAGTAAATCATGTAGGAGGGAGGGAGCTGGGGTGGAAAGGAAGCTGGGTGGGAACTCTGAGCTTAGCTGCCAGGTCTCCTTCTGGCTCTGTCTATCCTAATCCATCCTACCCCTAACCTGCATCTGAAATTGGGACAGAGGTGGAGATCAGGGGTAAGGAAGAAGCTGGCAGGATAGTTTGTGACCCTGGGGGAGGTGGAACTCAGTTCCTATGAACTACTGATTAATGACTTAACTGAACTCCAGAGTCCATGATAAACGGTCAGTGTGAGAGCAAGAAATGAATGATGAAAAGTTAAGATATCTGAATCCCAAGGCCACTTGATAGGGGGCCTCCAGGAGACCCTATCTCTCTAAGATCTTTTTTTTTTTTTTCCTGAGACAGAGTCTTGCTCTGTTGCCCAGGCTGGAGTGCAGTGGTGCAATCTGGGCTCACTGCAAACTCCACCTCCCGGGTTTAAGTTATTCTCCTGCCTCAGCCTCTCGAGTAGCTGGAATTACAAGTGCCTACCACCATGTTTGGCTAATTTTTGTATTTTTAGTACAGACAGGGTTTCACTATGTTGGCCAGACTGGTCTCAAACTCCTGACCTCAAGCGATCCACCTGCCTCGGCCTCCCAAAGTGCTGGGCTTACAGACATGAGCCACTGTGCCTGGCCTACCTAGAATCATTTTATTTCTCCCATTTTTCTACTCCTACTCTCTAATCCCATCTCTCAAGGTATTCAGGTTTTCTATGCATCCCCTCTCCCCCCATTCAGCTTTCTTGTCCTCAAAATACAGGTAAGTAAAACAGCTACCACTCCCCATTCATCAGGATAGTTGGGAAATCATCACTGTCTCTGGGTAGGGAAGGGGAACTGCAGCGTGAGAATCAACAGGACTCCTACCTCACCCATCCCTGTACAACTGGGGTCTTAACCTGAGTGGAGGGAAGTCCATTTCTACCTCCACCCAGATGTATGGCTTGGTTAGGGGAAGGGTCAAAGGGACAGGGGGTTGTTGAAGGTTGGCTACAGCTGGAGGACAGGACCAATGTCTTTGGTAACCCCCACCAGGCCCACATGGTCAGGACCACTGGCCAGCCTCTTACCCTGAGTGTGGAAACAATGCCCAGTCGCCCATCGATATTCAGACAGACAGTGTGACATTTGACCCTGACTTGCCTGCTCTGCAGCCCCACGGATATGACCAGCCTGGCACCGAGCCTTTGGACCTGCATAACAATGGCCACACAGGTAAAAGCACAGGCTCCAAGGAGTTGTAGGCTCCAGCTCAGAACTTAAGAGTCAGATCCTTTTGTAGTTCATGAGCGTGATGATGGGGTGTTCATGAGCATGCGTAAGATGTGCCACCCTCGAACCTTGTTATGATGTTGGCACATTACCCATCTGACATAAATAAACAAACAAATAAGCTCAGGAGTCAGAGGAAAGCAGCATTCTCCTAACCTGCAAATTCTCAAAAACCTTTGTCCATGAATTTGGAGATATGAGAATAGGGATCAGGATCCTGTAGCCAAGGCGGGAATCAAAATGTTTATAATCAAGCTCAATAGGTAGGTTAGTATCATTGCACTGACTTGAACCGAGAAAAAGGAAGATATACTAGAAAAGCACTGGCCTGTGGGAGGAACTGGGTGCTACTGGGGGAGAAAACTGGAAGAGGGCCAAGTCTCCCAAGAAGTGGTGGCAACCCAGGAGTGGGAATGTATCCACATTCCTCCACCAATCCTAGTTTGCTCTTTTCCTCACAGTGCAACTCTCTCTGCCCTCTACCCTGTATCTGGGTGGACTTCCCCGAAAATACGTAGCTGCCCAGCTCCACCTGCACTGGGGTCAGAAAGGATCCCCAGGGGGGTCAGAACACCAGATCAACAGTGAAGCCACAGTTGCAGAGGTACCAGGGAACAAAGAGCTGGGACTCAAAGTAACAGGGATGGTTGGTCCTGGGGAAAGGATCTGGACCTTAGAGGACAGCAGGGGAACGGTGGCAGCTAGTATCAAGGCCTTGAAGGGGGTGGGGACATCCCATGATTCAATTCCCTCTTAATTCCTTCAGCTCCACATTGTACATTATGACTCTGATTCCTATGACAGCTTGAGTGAGGCTGCTCAGAGGCCTCAGGGCCTGGCTGTCCTGGGCATCCTAATTGAGGTCAGTAGCCCCCAGTCCCTTCCAGGTTTCTCTCCACCTCCTCTGCAACCCTCACACCTATTTCTGTTGCTGGCCTCCCTCCTATGGCAGGCAGCAGCCCACCCTGACCATTTATTCTGTACATAAATTTCTTATTCCAAACATGGACTCATTCCAAACTCTCTCCCTTTCCTCCTCTTCCAGGTGGGTGAGACTAAGAATATAGCTTATGAACACATTCTGAGTCACTTGCATGAAATCAGTCATAAAGGTGAGCCTTAAAAACCTATAGCAGGAAGTAAGATTAGACTTTCAAAAACCTTTCAAAAAATATCCTAAAAAGCCTTGGGATGAGGCAATTACTTACAGCCAAGGAATTTTGCATCTGGGAGCCCTATCTAGGTAAGCTAGGACACACTACAAGGAAGATGAGTCCCAGTCTGTTCTCCCCAGATCAGAAGACCTCGGTGCCTCCCTTCAACCTAAGAGAGCTGCTCCCCCCACAGCTGGAGCAGTACTTCCGCTACAATGGCTCGCTCACAACTCCCCCTTGCTACCAGAGTGTGCTCTGGACAGTCTTCTATAGAAGGTCCCAAATTTCAATGGAACAGGTAAGTGGTGGAGAAATGAGGTGAGGCGAGACACAGTTGTAACTTCAGACCCCTTCCCACTCCCCAAAGTGACACCTCTCCCACGCTTCTGCTCCTCAGCTGGAAAAGCTTCAGGGGACATTGTTCTCCACGGAAGAGGAGCCCTCTAAGCTTCTGGTACAGAACTACCGAGCCCCTCAGCCTCTCAATCAGCGCATGGTCTTTGCTTCTTTCAGCCAAGGTGATTCTGCACCGCTCAGAAGAGATGGGAAACTGAGGGGAACACAATGACAGGAACTAGGGAGCCAATGGGAAGAAAAGGCTAATAGGAGAGGGGTTTTCGGGACTTGCTTGGACTGGGAACCAACCCCCACTCCAGGGTGCCTGGGTGATTCTCCCAGGCACAGCAGCAGAGTGCTGCTCCCAGCTGGGATGGGGATCTGAAGTCCCACTGACCCACTTTCTTCTCTTACAGCGGGATCCTTGTACACCACAGGTAAGGCAGCCTTATAAGATATTGTGGGGAGGGGGGGCATCCTCACCGAGTCGGGGAAAGGCTCAAAATCTGTTAGTCCTAGGCTGACACCTTTTACCTTTATCTCCCCCAGGTGAAATGCTGAGTCTAGGTGTAGGAATCTTGGTTGGCTGTCTCTGCCTTCTCCTGGCTGTTTATTTCATTGCTAGAAAGATTCGGTGAGGTCCTACTTTCCATTCCTCCAGTCCTTTCTTTCTTTCTTTTTTTGGGAGATGGAGTCTTGCTCCGTTACCCAGTCTGGAGTGCAGTGGTGCGCAATCTCAGCTCACTGCAACCTCTGCCTCCTGGGTTCAAGCAATTCTCCTGCCTCAGCCTCCTGAGTAGCTGGGACTACAGGCACGCACCATCACCCCCAGCTAATTTTTGTATTTTTAGTAGAGACAAGGTTTCACCATATTGGCCAGGGTGGTCTCAAACTCCTGACCTCAGGTGATCCGCCCGCCTCGGCCTCCCAAAGTACTGGGATCACAGGCGCGAGTCACCCGCTTTTTGAGACAGGTTCTCACTGTTGTCCAGGCTGGAGTGCATGGCTTTATCACAGATCACTGCAACCTCCACCTACTGGACTCAAGTAGTCCTCCCACCTCAGCCTCCTGAGTAGCTGGGACTACTGGCATGTGCCACCATGCCCGGCTAATTTTCATATTTTTAGCAGAGACAGGTTTTCACTATGTTGCCCAGGCTGGTCTCCAACTCCTGACCTCAAGTGATTCACCTGCCTCAAGCATCCCAAAGTGCTGGGATTACAGGTGTGAAACACCTCGCCCAGCCCTCTTTTCTATTAAAAATCATTCTCCTATTCCACCTCTAATCTGCTTCACTTAGATAGCAGTCATTCTCACGAGCCATTCCCCTTTCCAGGAAGAAGAGGCTGGAAAACCGAAAGACTGTGGTCTTCACCTCAGCACGAGCCACGACTGAGGCATAAATTCCCTCTCAGATACCGTGGATGTGGATGACTTCCCCTAATGCCTATCGGGAAGCCTCTAAAATGGGGTGTACGGTCTGGCCAGAAACACTGTAGAAGTAGTAGGCAGATGTCCTCCTTCCCCTGGACATCTCCTACAGAGAGGAATGGACCCAGGCTGTCATTCGAGGAAGAACTGCAGAGCCTTCAGCCTCTCCAAACATGTAGGAAATGAGGAAATCCCTGTGTTGTTAATGCAGAGAACAAACTCTGTTTAGTTGCAGGGATATATCCCAAAGTCCTCTACCCCCTTACTTTTATGGCCCTTTCCCTAGATATACTGCAGGATCTCTCCTTAGGATAAAGAGTTGTTGTTGAAGTTGTATATTTTTGATCAATATATTTGGAAATTAAAGTTTCTGACTTTAATTCCGGCCTATCCTTTAAGGCTCTTGAGGGTGGGCAAGTTCCTGAATCCCTCAGGTGGCAAAGATATGCAAAGGATGGGGAAAAGAAGCATGGGTGATTAACTCCTTTTATCCCACCCCTGGACAGAAAGATTAGCTTCTGGGAAAACACTTAACCCAAAGTTTCAGACATGTTAAACCACTAGCCCAGATTTCTGCCCTTGCACCAAGGCTATGCTTGGAGATCAGTGGTTGACAGGTTAGGAAAGTGGCTGGACAAGAGATCTGAGAGGGCAGAAATCTCAATTAACATGCTATCCCCTCCCTTAAAAGCCAAGTTCCCCCACAATTACAAATTCTTTTTTATTAGTCAAAATCACAATCACCTTGATTAAAAGGATGGGACACTCCACCCTCAGCAGAAAATGATACAGTTTATAGAAAACCTCCCCACCCCTCCCACACCCCAATTAAAAACTACAAAAAAATCTGCCCTCCTTCCCTACGATGTCATGGTAGTCTGACTCCTCCAGCGGCACTGCAGCTCTGGAGCGGTCAGCTCACCACAGCACCCTCCACTTCACCTTGGGGAGAGGAGGGATGCTGGTGGTTAAGGAGGTTAAAACCATTAGTTCCAGTAATGCCAGTTCCCAAACATGCACTTCCTTCCTTTCCCTCAAGGTCTGGGACCAAGGAGAAAGGTACAGAAATGAGCCCAGCCATGAGGAGCAACTCGAGGAGAGAAAATATAGCTCAAGGAGGTTAGAAGAGTTCCAACATACCTCCTCCCTTCCCCCACCTCAAAAAAGAGAAAAAGGCAGTTTAGGGTATTTGATCACACCAAAAATGGTTCCCCTCAGGCCTGAGAAAAAGACCAAGATGTCCAGTCTGGGGAGGGAGTACTGAGAAACTCAGAGCTCATCTACCCTTGAGCCTCCATTAATTTCATCTCCAGGGCAATGGCTAAACTAGGTCCCTTTTCTTGGCAACCTGCACTGTCCAGAACTGGAGATGGAGAAATACAGGGCGAGGACATCAGGAGGGCACCCCAGGCCCAGGGGTCCCCCCTAGGTTCCCTCAGTCCTCGGGTGGGATGCGCAGGGCAGAATACACCATCACCCGACTGTCCTCCTGCCGTCGGCCTGCAGAGGGGAAGGGAGGTGAGTCTTGGGCAGGGTGAGAGCAGAGCACTGACACAGGGGGAGTCCTGGACAACAAGGGGGTCCCCAGGTGGTGGGGATAAGTGCAGATTCAAACCCACCAGTCACTGACTGGCTGAACCCAGGCTGCTCCTGGTAAAGCTTAGAGACTAACGGTCACAAAAGGACAAAGCAAAACCCTGGAGGTGGTGGGGTAGACCGACGAGAAGGAGACAGAGAATGTGGGCAATGGACCCGGGCTGGGGCTGGGCTCAGTCATGGGCAGTGGACAGGCAGGTGGGATCTGTCAGGCGATCAGTCCAGGTAGTCAGTCCTTACACAAGAGGCTGCGCTGAATACTTCGGAGGGACCCTCCAGCTGTGATGAAGGCCCAGAGCCCCATGGAAACAGTGACTGCATAGATGGGCAGCAGGCTGGCCTCATACCAGGGGTTCAAGAATGTCTAGGAAGGAGGGTAAGAGTAGGAAAGAGATTAGATTCTCCCCCGACCTAATCCCCTTATTTTCTCTGTACCTTTGACTCCCAGACATCTCTCTCAAATTCCCCAGTCTTTCCCTTCAGAGCACCAACATCTTGTGGTTAAGGGGACTTTTGATTTTCAGCTCCTCAGAACCTCAAAGGTTTCTGCCGCTCCTGACCACCTCAGGCCCTCTGCATTACCGTTTGACTAATGCGTTCAACCTCCTCCCCAGAGCAGGTGCTAGAACTGATGCTGAGGTGAGAGACCTCAAAAGACTCACCTTTCCGCCTCCTCCCAGGTAAGTTAAAAATGTTAAGAAGTGAGGATACCCTTTCCCCGACATCCCACTCACCATTAAATGCTTTTCTCCCTAACTTAAGCCCCTGTCTCCAACTCACCAGTCCCGATGTCAGTAGGTGACTCCCAACCACCAGGCCCAAAGCCCAGTACCGTCTCCTCTCACAGGCATCAAAGAACACAACTCCCCAAAAGGTATGGAGCAGGATAATGGCTGCTGTCAGAAAGGCTGCAGGGAGGGAGATGGGGAGGAGATACATCCCTGATCTTCTCCCAGCCTCCTGAGATGTTGAGCCAAAGAAGTCTCCCAGGGAAGGCCAATAAATCAGATCAGGGACAAGGATGGATGGGGGGTGAAGGCTAGATAGAAGTTGGATCTTACCTGAAGTCAGGAAGTAATAGGGTGAGTCTCCATGGATCCCAACCACACCTGGCCCAAGTGCATCAGCCAAAATATTGATAACAGAGAAGACACCACTGATGATACCGAAGGAGAGACCAGAAACTGGGGGAAGGGAGGATCTCATCAATGTCAGAGATCACACTATTGCCTGTTCACCACTGACGCCTCCCCATTCCCCGTTACAATTCTTTCACGCCTACTCTCCCTCCAGACCAACTTTCTTTGGAAGTGACGGATGAAGGAAAATAAGAAGCCACTTAGAACATGTGGGTATTTAGAGACTTCCCTAGAGGAGGGGGCTGTCCAACTCCCTCCTCCAGTCCCTCTCCCTTGGCTCACCATAGGCCATCTGGCGGATGGAGATGGGTGATCTTCCGTCCTCACTCAGCGATGCTAACCCCTCATCTGCCTTCCTGGGGTGGGGTGGGGTAGGGGAAACATGAGGGAGGGCAGGGATGCTCCTTTCCCTCTAATGTCCTCCCTTAGTGCCTCCTCTTCCAAACCAGCACCCAGGGGCTGCCCCACTTCCCACAGTGCAGTCCTCTGCCCCTCTCCCCTCCAGACCACTCCATCATCTTACTTAAGCAGCTTGTAGTAGGCAAAGCGGAACACCTCCTGTAGAAGGACAGAGACAGCAGCACCAAAAATCAGGAGGCCGTACTGGAGCCGGGCATCTGACCGGTCGGTCACATGGACCAAGATGAACCAGACCACAGAGGCCAGGAGCAGGGAGACCAGCCAGAAAAATGCCCTGAGAAAAGACAGGGACAGTGAGACAAGCAATGGTAAGGGCTGCCAGAGAAATCAAGGAGGGAAACCAGCCAAGGTGCTTGAAGGGTGGAAGTTAGCTTTTCCGGATGGTTAGGGAGCCATGGACCAGGTAGGGTAACTGTTTCCACCAAGACACTCATCTGTAGAAACGTGAACGCAGAGGAAAGGGGAGAAATCTAATTAAAGAGTCTTCAGAGCGATGAGAGCCAGAGTGTGCGAGCACCGAAGGGCGAGGTATCCATTCCTGGATCCTCCCCTAAGGCACCTGACTCGGCCAGCCTAGGTCAGCACAGCCCCCTCACGAGTCTCGGCCTTGGGCCTTCTCTGACGTCGCTGGGAGGAATATAGGAGGAATCTGTGAGATCCTTGGAAGGTGGAAACCAACTGCGGGAAAAGGCAAATCTCCCAGACCCAACCCCTCACCTCCGCCCAAACTTCACCTCCGATTTATCGTCCCCAATTCAGGCTCCCAGGCTCGCCCCAGTTCCTCCAGCCCCTTCCGCACCTCTCTCTTCGACGCTCTTCCGCGTCTCCCGGACCCCCTACTCACCCTGCGACCAGGATGATAACGCGAAGTGGATCCCCAGCCACAGTGATCAAGAAAAGCGCGAAGGCCGGGCCGAACGCGACGAAAGTACAGCCGAAAAATACCGCAGCCCCCATGGCTGGGCAGGTGGGAGGGGGGTGGGGGCCTGACCAGGACAGGCAAATGGGAGAGGCACGCCAGCTGGGGAGTCCGCGTGGGGTGGCAACGCGACCCCACGAGGGGCGCGGTGCAATGTCACCCCCAAACCCCGGGGAAGGGGAAGGGGGGGGAACCAAAACCCCAAATGAAGGTCCGCGGGACTTCCTCTACGGAAGCCGAAGAAGGGACAAATCCCGGTCGCAGCCCCACGGCCACCTCCCATCTAATCCCCACCCCCGGAAGGCCAATGGAGAATCAGCGCGGGCGGAGCAGCTCGACCTGCTGGGAGTTGTAGTCGCCTTCCGAGGCCTTGACTTCGTCCTGGGAGTGGCTCGAACCGGTTAATGGGGGTGGGCCGGGAATGGACCAGTAAAGACACAGATTCCTGGGTTCGGTTGCGCCTCCGTCGCTGTTTCCTTTCGTCACTTTGTGGGGAAAAGTGGTAGCAATCATACCTCTTCTTGAAGGGCTGCAGCGGGGGTAGATCCTGTTTGAATCTAAGAGACAAATACAAAGAGAGCACAGGATGGGGCGCAGGGAGATAGGGACGGGTATTGTTCTTACTTGAATGAGAGGAAATGGGCTACAGCTGTTGCCTAAGGGATGAAGATTACATTAAAAAGTAGGAGCTCTTCGGACAGGCTAGTATAATAAACATGGAATACAGTATATCGCTAATGAAGCCTTCATCTGTAATGACAAGAGAATTGGAGAGAAGCAAAAGGAGCCTGGAGAGAAATGTTAGGAAGGCATTTTGAAAGAGTCCGGGAGTTTAAAAGCAATTAGAGCGATGGGGTTGAAGGAAAACGACACCCCCGCCCCAAGTTCCTTTTATGTCATACTTCCTCTGTTTATTGTCTGAAAAATGAACCTCAGTGGTGCGTTTTCCTCAGATTGGAGAGGGGTTGTATATTAGAGTGAATGAAAGTTAAAGTAGGCTGGGCGCGGTGCCTCACCCCTGTAATCCCAGCACTTGGGGAGGCCAGGAGTTTGAGACCAGCCTGGCCAACATGGCGAAACCCCATTTCTACTAAAAATGCAAAAATTAGCCAGGTGTGGTGGCGCGCGCCTGTAATCCCAACTACCCGGGAGGCTGAGCGGCAAGAATAGCTTGAACCCGAGAGGCAGAGGTGGCAGTGAGCTGCGACTGCGCCACTGCACTACAGCCTGGACAACGGAGTGAGGTTCTGTCTCAAGAAAGAAAAAGAAAGTTAAAGTAGGAGAGGAGAGGATTGTAATCCCATTTGAATGGGTAGAGGTTAGTCCTTAGGGCAGATGTTAGGCAAAGGAATCTGAGGATGGAAAAGAGGGAAGGAATCTGGAATATCGTTTTTGAAAGCATAACCAAAGTACCAAAAAAACCCACAGAAATTGTTTAAAGATAACCAAACTTGCTTTCCTTCCTGGAAATGATTTATGATTTAATCCATATGTGCACACTCACATACGTGTTTTACATGTGTTCCAGGAAATTCTGGAAAGGAGCTGAGGAATAGATTGTATAGATTTACATAGAGGCTGGTCACAGTGGCTCATGCCTGTAATTCCAGCACTTTTGGAGGCCAAGGCCGCGGGATCACTTAAGGTCAGGAGTTTGAGACTAGCCTGGCCAGCATGTTGAAACCCTGTCTCTAATAAAAATACAAAAAATTAGCCAGGCGTGGTGGTGCGCACCTGTAGTCCCAGCTACTCAGGAGGCTGAGCCACAAGAATAGCTCGAACCTGGGAGGTGGAGATTACAGTGAGCTGAGATCACACCACTGCACTCAAACCTGGGCGACAGAGCAAGACTCTGTCTCCAAAAAAAAAGAAAGAAAAGATTTACATGGAACGTCACAAGGCAAATTATTCCCTAATAAGATTAAGAGGGTAGCATTATCGTGGCCTGTGTTCAAGACTCCAGTATGTCCTGCTTCTGAGCCCAGCAGGCAGAGTCAGGTGGATAGCAATGAGACAATTCTGCTCATGTCTTTTTTTTGCGATGGAATCTCACTCTGTCGCTCAGACTGGAGTACAGTGGTGCGATCTCGGCTCACTGCAACCTCTGCCTCCCAGGTTCAAGTGATTCTCTTGCCTCAGCCTCCCTAGTACCTGGGATTACTGGCGCCCGCCACCACAACTAGCTAATTTTTGTATTTTTAGTAGAGACAAGGTTTCACCATGTTGGCCAGGCTGATCTCCTGATCTCCTGACCTCAGGTGATCCATCTGCCTAGGCCTCCCAAAGTGCTGGGATTACAGGCGTGAGCCACTGTGACCAGCTTCATCTCTCCATTGTGTGTTATCACAGCATCTTCTGACCAGGCTCTAAACCTATCTTGTTCGTGGGCGGTTCCACAGACACTTGCACAGTGCCTGACTCATAGTAGATGTTGGGCAGATACTTATTAACTTCCCTTAAGAACAAAGCAAAACTGTCTTTTCTTATTCCCTTGCCTGTAAGCTCTCAGTGCCTATCAGACTAGGCCTAGCACACTGTGCCTAGCACATACGTTGCTAAGGGTTTCTGAATTGAATGATCATGGGAAACATAAAAGCAGAGGAAAGGATAAAAACTCTACTCCTGTAGGACTGAATGAAGGGAACACACCAAGTGACCGAATGTGGGAGGGAGGGTATGGCACCTGTAGCAGGGAAAGAGACTATCTGCTTCCTCCCTTCTCCCAACTTGCATCCTGGAAGTTGAGAAAGAGATGAGGTGAGGCTGGGCTGGGCACAGTGGCTCATGCCTGTAATCCCACTTTGGGAGGCCAAGATGGGTGGATCACCTGAGGTCAGGAGTTCGAGACCAGCCTGGGCCAACATGGTGAAACTTTGTCTCTACTAAAAACACAAAACTTAGCTGGACATGGTGGCACGCACGTGTAGTCCCAGCTACTGGGGAGGCTGAGGCAGGAGAATCACTTGAACCCGGGAGGCGGAGGTTGCAGTGAGCTGAGATCGTGCCACTGCACTCCAACCTGGGTGAGAAAGCGAGACTCTGTCTCAAAAGAAAACAAAGAGGTGAGGTGAGGTCAGTATTACCAGAGAGGAAATAACTGACCATGGCTGAGAGACTTTTATCTGAAGCCATGCAGCAGGTGCTTTAAGTCAGAAAATGATGGGTAAATATTGTTCCTATTCTCCATAGCTCAAGACAGACAGAAGAAAGGGACTCTTTTCAGTCTAGAAAAATGCTCACTCCTTCCTCATATCATTTCCACTGTGATGAAAAAAGACTGATGAAGCCTCAGAGAGAAACGCAACTCTGGGTGGTGATGGTAAGTCAGGGACAGTGAGAGGGAGGGTGAGCTTTTTATGAGACCTTGGAGGAAGGAAGGAAAGCCAGGAGAGGGGAAACTTCTTGGTAGGCTTATTTTTATTTTTTTATTTTTTTATTTTTTGGTAATGGCAGTGGAAGTCCTGAATGGATCTAATCTAGGGCAGGGGGAGCTTAAGAAACATGTTTGTATCAAAAGCCCCTTTTGCCTCTCAATCTGGGCAGCTCTGGCTGGGGACCGGCAGTAACTGGAGATCTAGTCAGTCAGCCAGTAGGCGGGGAGTTCTGCCCCCTGGGAGGAGAAGAGTTGCTGCAGGTCCTTCCCTGCTTTGGAGGAGGAGGGGAGGCGGGGTAAGTTTGGTGGGAAACTGTAATTTCCTTTTTTACTTTCACAGCAATAGTGCAGAATCCAGAATGGATATCCTCTTTGCAGCCATCCTTGCTGTGCCACTTATCCTGGGTAAGTCCACTCCTCTCACTGAGCTTTTGTGCCTGGTCTTCTACCATAAATGGGGTGGGAGAAAAAAAAATGAGGAGTGGGTAAGAGGCGCATTTCAATGGGGAGCAATAGAGTTTTCTCATCGTGCTAGGATCCGGTGTTGAGGGCAGAATGGAGATCTGGAAGGCAGAGCCAGGAAAGGGGAAAAAAAGCAGAGTCCTGTCAAAGAAGGAGGATGGAGCTCCAGATACAAGGAGGCCCTAGCAACACTGAGCTCAGTTCTCCATCACCACAGAAGTTGAACAAGATGAGAGGCACTAAAGTAAGGGTGAAGGAGGAATTATTGGAAGGTGTCACAGTCTAAAACTAGTAGTTAGGGTATCTCCTTTCCCAGAGAATTGGAGGAAAAAAACTGCTATTAGTAAAGACACAGAAGTGGGGTGACCTTTAGGGTAGTGGAAAACTGGCTGTCTTCAGGGACAGGGTCCCAACAGTAGCTTGGCTCCTTCCCTCCTTTGTTCCCCAGTCTGCCAGGTGTGTCTCTCATTGTTTCCTTTTCCTCTAGATTCTTGTGTCATTAGCTTGGAGTTGAAGGGAAAGCATTCAAGGAGCTCAGGGAAGTGTTTAGCAGGAGGCCTGGAGTTCTTGATCCAGTCATATCAAAGCCACATATTTTTAGTTCTGAAAGGGAAGAAAAACTAAAGGAGATGGGTCATTTAGTCCAGCTGACTCATTTTAAGAAAGCGGATGTTAAGTGGATTGTTCAGGGTTATTCCATTAGCAGTGAAGCTGGAACTAAAGCTCAAATCCAAAGCCTAAGGGTGTGTGTTATTTGTAAGAGACACTGATGAGAAAAGATCTCTCACAAATACAGTAAGATCTGGAGCATACTAAATAGAAGATTTGGCGTGTTTAATTCCTGGTCTCTACTCTTCCTACCTTTTTTAGGTTTGGTTCTCCCTTTGGGTTTATAGTATGTGAAGGGGACTGTTTTCTGTTTTAGGAGTTCCTGGATTGAAAGGGCACAGAGTAACAGGCCTCATTACAGATATGGAGCCCAGAAGACTGAGAGGAGTGTAAGGGTGCACAGGCAGGAAGGGATTATGACTATTGGAGGGGAAGAGAAAGAAAGAAAGAAAGAGAGAGAGAGAGACAGAGAGAGAGAAAGCGAGAAAGCGAGAAAGCTGGGAACGCTGAGGTCAATTCCAGGTGTCCTTTTGTTAGTAAGGTGTTCCAGATGTCCCTTGACCTATAGTCCTTGTCCCCATAGGACAAGAATATGAGGATGAAGAAAGGATGGGAGAGGATGAATATTATCAGGTGGTCTATTATTATACAGTCACCCCCAGTTATGGTGAGTACATGAAAGGCTCTTGCTCTTAGCCAACTGGAGAGAGGCTTCAGGATATTTAGTTCTGAGACTTTGCTTTTCACTTTGCAGCAGAGCAATGGGGTCAGAGAAAAATATAGCTATAAACAAAACCTATCAAGGCTCATGATGGGCCAGGGACAGTGACTCATGCCTGTAATCCCAGCACTTTGGGAGGCTGAGGCGGGTGGATCACCTGAGGTCAGAAGTTCGAGACCAGCCTGACCAACAGGGTGAAACCCTGTCTCTACTAAAAATACAAAAATTAGCCAGGCATGGTGGCACCTGCCTGTAGTCCCAGTTATTCAAGAGGCTGAGGCAGGAGAATCACTTGAACCCGGGAGGCCGGACGTTGTGGTAAGCCGAGATCACGACACTGTATTCCAGCCTGGGGGATAGAATGAGACTCCATCTCAAAAAAAAAAAAAAAAAGACTGATTTTTAGATGGGAGGATTGCTTGAGCCCAGGAGTTCAAGGCCAGCCTGAGCATCATAGCAAGACCTTGTCTCTATAGAAAAAAAAAGATTTTTTTTTTTTCAATTAGCTGGGCATGGTGGCACATGGCTGTAGTCCCAGCTACTCAGGAGGCTGAGGTGGGAGGATCACTTGAGCTCAGGAGTTGGAGGTGATAGTGAGCTATGATTGAACTAACTGTACTCCAGCCTGTTAACAGAGTGAGACCTTGACTCTAAAAAAAGAAGAACTTGAAAATTTTTCAAATTCGTAAATTATTTTAGATACCTAGATTGAAAATATAAATGTATACACTCACAGTCATTTTTAACATTACAGTTAAATAAAATTGGATTATACCAATAAATGTTACAACTTAAGTTAAACTATTCTGAGCAATTTCTTCCCTTTTCATTTCCAGATCTAGAGTTACCTTTTTCTCTAATTATTACTGATTTTCTTTCTCCTCTGCAGATGACTTTAGTGCAGATTTCACCATTGATTACTCCATATTTGAGTCAGAGGACAGGCTGGTGAGTGACCTCTACATCTAAAAGGTTTAGGATAAGTAACAATTAAAAAGAAACTGGCCAGGCGTGGTGGCTGACGCCTGTAATCCCAGTACTTTGGGAGGCCAAGGCGAGTGAATCATTTGAGGTCAAGAGTTTGAGACCAGCCTGGCCAACATGGTGAAACCCCGTCTCTACTAAAAATACAAAAACATTAGTTGGACGTGGTAGCATACACCTATAATCTCAGCTACTCAGAAGGGTGAGGTAGGAGAATCACTTGAATCCGGGAGATGGAGGACGCAGTGAGCCAAGATTGTTCCACTGCACTCCACCCTGGGCAACAGAGCCAGACTCCATCTCAAAAAAAAAAAAAGAAAAGAAAAGAAAAGAAACTGGGCAATGTTGAAATGTATCTGATTAGCAAAAATAAAAATGAGTCTGATGAGGAGAAACTAAGTAATAGGCCCAAAACAGATTTGTTAACCTATCTGGGGAGGAGAAGAAAGCCAGAACTTTATAAATTGTCCTCAGTAAGTTTGCTAAGACACTGAGGAGGGGCATCAAGGGAGTTTTGAATGAGATGGGTACAAATCTATGCAGTACAGGGTAGGGGGGAATCCCTGAGCTTAAGTCCTTGGGCTGGGTGGAGGTGGTGGAGGGGAGAACTTTAAATAGAGAATCTATGAAGATGTTGGATGGAAAAAATGATAACTCTGTGTTTCCCAAATCCTACTGAGGGTAGAACAGGTTGGATAAAGACACAACAGAGGCAGTAGGGACTACCATTAGTCTTGAAACAGCACGTGCAGACCATCCGAAGCCTGTAACTCTGAAACCAGTAACAACGGAACCAGTGAGTTGATTGGGGATTGGGGGCTGGGGGGAGACAGGATATCCCTAGTGACGTGGAGTAATAGAGGCCTGGAATACCAGGCTTTGGTGGATGGGGGAACCAAATAATTAGTACTTCAATGTAGGTGTTCATCTCAACTTGGCCATGTTTCACTGAGATTTAATACTAACCCTGTATACAGAACACTGGGAAGATATGGTGCAGTTAAATTTCAGTTCAGTAGTATTCAATATGTATGTAATCTGTGCCTAAGGCTGCTAAGGTAACTGATGCTGATCAAAAAGAAATCTATGATGTTCCTGTCCTCAAAGAACTTATAAAATTCAAGTTTACATTTACGAAACACTCAGAACAAAATGAAAAGGTATGTTACAATGTTAAATTACATATAAATTTGAAAGCAGAACATACTGGCAGTGCTTTAGCCAGTGTAAGGAGAGAGATTAGTACAGGTTAGAGTTGTCTGAAAAGCTTTCAAGAGGCATTTGTGGTTGAGATACACCTTGAAGAATAGATGAGCTTTTGATTGGTGGGTAGTTATGAAAGGACAGAAGCAATTAGGAGAAAGAATAGTTATTCCAAGAGTGAAAGAGGCCAGGTGTGGTGGCTTACACCTGTAATCCTTTGGGAGGCCAAGGTGGTAGGATCACTTGAGGTCAGCAGTTCAAGGCTAGTTCAAGGGCCAACATGGTGAAACCACCCATCTCTACTAAAAATACAAAAGTTAGCCAGGCGTGGTGGTGCCTGCCTATAATTCCAGCTACTTGGGAAGCTGAGGCATGAGAATCGCTTGAACCTGGGAGGCAGAGGTTGCAGTGAGCTGAGATCATGCCACTCCACTCCAGCCTGGGCAACAGAGCGAGACTCTATCTAAAAAAAAAAAAAAAAAAAAAAGAAGAGTGAAAGAGCTGCACAGGAGTGGGGAATAGAATAAGCCTAATATGTTTAGCAAATAGGGTATGATTGAAGGAGAGGGTATATGGAAGGGAACAGTGGGAATTAAGAAAAATAAAAAATTTACAAGGCTCCTAATATTTGCTTGGTAATTTCACATGTGGCAACATAGGGTCAAATTTCAGAGAGTCTCAAGTGTCAGGCTGAAGTCTGGACTCATAATCAACAAGGAGCCTAGTAAGTTCTTCATTATAGTAAAAACACGATGAAAAGTGATATTTTAGAAAAACTGGCCAGGTGTGGTGGCTAACAACTGTAATCCAAGCACTTTTGGAGGCTGAGGCAAGCTGATCACCTTAAGTCGGGAGTTCAAGACCAGCCTGACCAACAAGGAGAAACCCCATCTCTAGTAAAAATACAGAATTAGCTGGGTGTGGTGGTGCATGCCTGTCATCCCAGCTACTTGGGAGGCTGAGGCAGGAGAATTGCTTGAACCTGGGAGGCGGAGGTTGCAACAGTGAGCCAAGATCGCACCATTGCACTCCAGCCTGGGCAACAAGAGTGAAACTCTGTCTCAAAAAAAAAAAAAAAAAAAAAAAAAAAAGATAAACCACTCATCAGGTTGTATGCAGGATATAAATAATTTAGTGGAGAGCAACTCATGAGATTTGCGTTGTTCCAGAAACAATCTGTATTCTGGGATTATGAATGGAGAGGAGAAAAATAAATATGAAGAAAATACCTTGCTTGAGTGATAATTTTATATTAGGTATAAATGAGGAGAGAGTTAAAATAACTCATGGGTTTTACACATGGATATCTGGGAAAATGGTTGACCAAAGTGGGAACTATGGGAGGCCAGAGTGGTTTAGGACAGACGTTATTAATTTGGTAATGGCCAAGCTGAGTTTATGGTAACAGCTCTATGAGGGTGTCCTAAAGGTCACTGAACTAGATCAGGGCTAGAGTTCTAAGTGCAAAGTCACAGTTATGAAAGTAAATGAGCTCAACAAAGCCAGTACACACAAGCTCAGAAGGCCAGTGACTGTGCCTGTAGTGAGTGGGAGGAAGAGAAATTAATGAATGGAATGGAGAAGGATTTGACTGCAGAAGTAGGCAGATAGCCAAGTTTGTATTTTAGATTCTAAAAGAGAAAGTTTAATATAATCCATCAAAAGTTACCAAGAGGCCAAGGAGGAAGAGGTCACTGGTAACTCTCAAGAAAATAGTTTTAATTGAGTGCTTGCAGAAAATCTAGATTTTTGTGGAGTTAAAGAGGGAGTACATTATGAGGAAAGGAAGGTGAGTACAGACCAACCATCAAAAAAATCTGGTAATGAAAAAGAGAAGCAACAGCTGGAAAGCGGAATAGGACCAAAGAGCAGTCTGCACATAGTTGAGCACAGATCAAAGAAGCCAGTAAGAATGGAAGTGAAAGATTGACAATAAGGGCAGTTAATTCTTTTTGAAGCATATAGTAGGCTGGGCACGGTGACTCACGCCTGTAATCCCAGCACTTTGGGAGGCTGAGGTGGGCGGATCACCTGAGGTCAGGAGTTTGAGACCAGCCTGGCCAACATGGCAAAACCCCATCTCTATTAAAAATACAAAAATTAGCCAGGCCTGGTAGCAGGCGCCTGTAATCCCAGCTACTTGGGAGGCTGAGGCAGGAGAATTGCTTGAACCCTGGAGGTGGAGGTTACAGAGAGCTGAGATTGCACCACTGCATTCCAGCCTGGCGACGGAGCAAGACTATGTCTCAAAAAATAATAAATAAATAAATAAATAAATAAATAAAGTATATAGTAGACTCTCTTTAGATTGTAAATTCCTTGAGGACAAGAATCTTGTCTTATTCATATTTATGTCCCTCTCTGTAGCACCTAGCACAGTGACTAGCATAGTATCATGCATATAATAGATACAAAATAGAAATAATTGAATTGAATTGGCCTCCCTGGTATGGTCAGGGATAGCTGAAAGGCACAGAAGAAAGGACTCCTTACAGTGATAGGGAAGGATGGATCTTTCTCTAAGCCCAAAGGAAAGGAAGACAGAGGTTGTTGTAAAGAGGTGGCAGTCCTTCTGGAGGGGGACGGAGAAGTGGTAGGAGGAATGACACGAGCCTACTGTGTGGGGATGTCTGTATTTTAGCAGAGTCCAGATCTGAATGATGCTGTGTCCAGTTTGCGGAGTCCTATTCCCCTTCTCCTGTCGTGTGCCTTTGTTCAGGCGGGGATGTATTTCATGTAGAAGGTAAGAGTGCAGCCACTGGCTTTGGCGGAGTCTGTGAAATAATATTTTTTAACTTCCCACACTAAACTGAAGTAATTCTTACCAGTATCTCTGACTAGTGTTTCCAGCCTGGTCAATTATCAGCCACTGAAGGAAGAGATTCAGGCATGGTAGCTCATCCCTGTAATCCCAGCACTTTGGGATGCTGAGGTGGGAGGATCGCTTGAGTTCAGGAATTCCAGACCAGGCTGAGCAACATAGTTTGAGACCAGGCTGAGCAACAGACCTTATCTCTACAAAAAAATTAAAAATAAATAAATAATTAACTCCTCTACAAGACGTTAAAAAAATAATAAAAATAAAAATTAGTTGGGTGTGGTAGCACAGGCCTGCAGTCCCAGCTACTGGGGAGGAGCAGGTGGAAGGATTCCTTAAGCCCATCAAGCAGAGGCTGCAGTGAGCCATGATCTGGCCACTGTACTGTTGCCACTGGGCAACAGAATGAGACTCTGTCTCAAAAAATAACAAGTAAAATGAAAGAAGAGGGATCACATTTCCAAAAATCTTCTTATTCGGTCTTTTTTTTTTTTTTTTTTTTTTTGAGACGGAGTCTCGCTCTGTCGCCCAGGCTGGAGTGCAGTGGCCGGATCTCAGCTCACTGCAAGCTCCGTTTCCCGGGTTCACGCCATTCTCCGGCCTCAGCCTCCCGAGTAGCTGGGACTACAGGCGCCCGCCACCTCGCCCGGCTAGTTTTTTGTATTTCTTAATAGAGACGGGGTTTCACCGTGTTAGCTAGGATGGTCTCGAACTCCTGACCTTGTGATCCGCCCGTCTCGGCCTCCCAAAGTGCTGGGATTACAGGCTTGAGCCACCGCGCCCGGCCCTTATTCGGTCTTTAAGAAATTTAGGAGATGCTGAGGCAGACTTTTGTGATGAGCCATTAGTTTTTCTGAACTAAGAGACCTTCAGGATCTCCTAGAGCAGAGGCAAGTAGATGAAGGGGTTGGGGGAATACCAGGCTTCCAAAATGTCTGGAACAATCAAAGCTAGTTCCAGTCTGGCCATGATTCAAGTCATGGCGAATGCCAGAGGGCAAAGTGGGTGGGTCCTACAACCTGGTAGAGTCAAGAGGCAAAGTTCAGAGGCAGAAGGGGTGGCGGTTCTCTGATGTATGGCAGGGCAGGGGGAGAGAAGGGAAAATTGTATTATAGGAAAAGCATTTTTAAATTGAGATGCTAAATAACCATCGAGCATAAAGAGATTCAGCAGGAGGTGAAAGGACTGTGGAGAAGAGAGGTACACACACATCCTTCCCAGGAGTCATCACAGAGCAATCCCAGCTCAGAATATCTGGGGAGTTTCCGTAGAGTGTGGGGGGCATGAAGGGGTTTCTCAGGTCTCCTGACTCTTTTATTTTTTTTCTTTCTTTCTTTCTTTCTTTCTTTCTTTCTTTCTTTCTTTCTTTTTCTCTTTTCTTTCTTTCTTTCTCTGCTTTTTTAGGTGGGAGAAGGCTGCTATGACTCTTTGGATGGGAGTTTGGCAAGAGGAAATTGGAAGATAAAATAAATAAGTGAAATAATCTGGTTACCATCTACTCCTTCATGAGTCTGTTCTACAGTCACAATAAAGAGAGCACCAGGATTTAGAGGCAGCAAGTGTAGATTGGAAGGGGAGTTGGGTGACAACTGAATTAGAGGGCATTATGGACTGAAAAAATCTGCAGTTTGGAGAAGACTGGAGAAGGGCACCCACAGACAACAGGTTTATTCGCAGTCCATATTGGTAATTCTCTTCTTTTATTTTATTAAATATGGTGTTGAAACAGTGTGCTTGGGGAAACGGGGTTGAGGTTTTAGAATCTTTCTTTTTGTAAGAATAAGCACATTGTTAAAACATAAGGTAAAATATCAAAAACTACTTAGAATAGATTTAAAATATTCACACCTACCCACCCCCACCCACACCTCTGTCCAACAATGTGCCTTTTGCAGTTGGTAATTATGGCAGGGACAAACTCAAAATTTTTTTTTAAATCGCTACCCTCGGGACCCTAATCAGAATTGGGCTGCCCCCTTGCGGTCTCTGCGGCGTATTATCTTTAACCAGCTCACAATCCTTGGCCCTGCTCTCCTCTCTATTGTACTCTCAAAATGCAAGCCGCAACGACAACAGTAACGTCCCAGTTATTTCTGAGACTCTCTAAACTCTGGACTTGCCTCCCTCCCCTCCTTCAAAGTCTTTCGAATCTTCTCTAGGGGACAAATGAAGGCACTGAAGCTGGACAAAGCCATAACCTAGGAGATCAGGGACCTACCCCATTCTGTTCCCCGTGCTTGGAATCAGATAATTCAGGACGCCGGGCCCAAGACGCCTGGACAAAAAAAGTCAGGAAAAACTGAGTTTCGTTTTGACCTCTAGCGTCGTGGCGGGGTGGCATCTGAGCTGGTAACGTGCGTGATAGGTTATGTAAGAAAAGGGCCGGAGGAGCCGCCCCAGCGGGAGCCAGAGAGGACGCGGTGTTCTCGGCTGCAATCCCCACCCTCCTCACCCAGCAGGGCAGGAGGCACCCAGCTTGGAGGAGAAAGGGGTGGGGGAGGTGAAACAGAGACCAGAGAGTCACGAGGGCTGGGCCGCCGAGAGCGGGAGAATATACCGTGTCACACACTTCCATTCTCTCACATACACGTTGCAGACACAAATCACTGATGGTTTCCACGTGCTGCGCTCGTGAGCGGAGGTGTTCAAAGAGGGGGCAGATGAGTTAGTTCCTAAGACGGAACTGGGGGTCCCACGTCCGGAGGCGCACGCCTTCAGTGGCACAACCAATCTCTGCACACTCAAGCTGCGCGTCTCTGGCGCATCACCATCCTATTTAAGGCCACGGACTCCGCCCTTTTCCTCCCCTCCCTTCTTTTCCACTCTTTTTCCATCCTCCTCCTTTTCTCATCACCGGGTCCTCTCCGGCAGCCGCATGTAGGGGCGGAGCACGGAATGCTTCCCTTACAGCCAATCATCACCTGGCTGCCCTCTATTGGCTGAGGCCGTTTGTACTGTAGCAAATGGGCTATGGACTTCAGTAACGAGAATCACGTGTTACCGGCGACACAACCAATGAGGGCGCGAGATCTGTGTAAGCAGGGGGAGGCACGTGCCAGGCCGCACGTGTCTGGGAGGGGGAAGGGGCGGGGCCCCCTGAGAGGCGGAGGTGGGTAGCCAGACCCGGAGAGACGGTGAAGGAGCTGGAAACCGAGCCAGGGCTGAGCCGGCTGACAACAGGTAAGGATATTCGGAGGAAAAGCGAGCTGTTAGGGAGGATTTGGGAGTGGATTTGGGGGCTGAATGCAGATCTTGGTATTGGGAGGGTTTGCATCACGTGGCAGGTGCGAGCCCAGAGAGACCCGCACAGGGATCCTGATCTTGAAAGATTGGGAGAGGGCAGGAGGCCAGTCTTTATGGGGGCGGGTCCTGTAGGGTCACCAGGTGGGTTCGCGTGCGCAGATTGACCTCTCGTGGGTGGCATGGCTTAGGTGAAGAGGCTTGCTGCGGACTCAGGTTGGCGAACAGCCCTGGCGAACAACGAGCGGAGGGGAAGGTGTCTTTCAAGTCAGGTATTTGAATTGAGGGAAGAAAAGAACGGAGGCCGCGTCAGGCAGAGAGCTGCTCTGCGGCGGCCAGAGAGGGAATCCCAGGTTCTTAATGGGCGGGGGTGGGGGTAGAAATGTCTTTTTCTATTGTGTCTGAGACTGGTAATATTGGGGAGGGGGAGAATAAGTATTATCCCACGCAGTACACCCCAATCTCCCAGTCCATTTCCTAATACTTAAACTCCGGTTTCAAACTCCCTCGCTTTGCTCTTCAGTTGCAGGTTCCGATCTTTGGGTACTCCAGGAGCTGCTCTCCAGCCCCTGCTTCTGGACCTATGGATTCTCCATCTAGCATTTCTTCCTATTCCTCCTACTCTCTCTCTTCGTCTTTTCCCACCTCCCCAGTGAACAGTGACTTTGGCTTCCCCTCTGATAATGAGAGGGAGGACAAGGGGGCCCATGGGCCCAGGCCAGACACTGTTGGGCAGAGGGGAGGTTCCCGGCCCAGCCCGGGTCCTATCCGCTGCAGGCATCGATCCAAGGTTTCCAGTAACCAACATACACCATCTCATCCGGAACAGCGGGGTTCGGCTTCTCCTATGGCAGGATCTGGGGCGAAAAGATCAAGAGATGGTGAACTGGAGACCAGTCTAAACATCCAAGGTTGTACCACAGAGGGAGACCTGCTGTTTGCCCAGAAGGTAAGAGAAAGCAGGTGAAAGGAGACTCTCCTGGAGTGGCTTAGCACCCAGCTGGTTGATAAGGACCCTATAAGGATAGTAATGACTCCCAGATTTGGAGGTGAAGGAAGAGCCACTGCTGGTGTGGACAGTTCTTGGTCTTCTCACAGCCTTTGTCCTGTTTTCCTACAGTGTAAAGAACTCCAAGGATTTATACCTCCTCTCACAGATCTACTCAATGGGCTGAAGATGGGTCGTTTTGAGAGAGGTAATCTCATTAGTTGCATTCATTTGGGCTAGGTTCATTTCTCTCTCTCTTTCCCTCTTTTGATGTGTATTTCTCTTAAGTTCTTGTTTGGGGCCTATATTACTCCTTTTTTGCTACTATGACTTAATTATTATTATTGTTATTATTATTTTTTGAGACGGAGTTTTGCTCCTGTTGCCCAGGCTGGAGTGTAATGGTGCTATCTCAGCTCACTGCAACCTCCGCCTCCTGGGTTCAAGCGATTCTTCTGCCTCAGCCTCCCCAGTCACTGGGATTACAGGCGCCCACCACCATGCCCAGCTAATTTTTGTTATTTTTAATAGAGATGGGGTTTCGCCATGTTGGCCAGGCTAGTCTCAAACTCCTGACCTCAGGTGATCCACCCGCCTCGGCCTCCCAAAGTGTTGGGATTACAGGCGTGAGCCACCTTGCCTGGCCCGACTTAATTTTTTTTAGATCAATCAATTTTAGCCCCCTTCTGTTCGTCCTTTACCTGACTACATGCTTGAATCTCAATCCTTAATCTCTCTCTGTCCCTATCCCCAGGATTAAGCAGTTTTCAGCAGAGTGTGGCAATGGACAGGATCCAGCGTATTGTAGGTGTTTTGCAGAAGCCACAGATGGGGTAAGTCCCCTTGGTTCTTTCCTTGGGTCTTCATAAAAAGGAAATTTCTTCAATCCTGTTGCTGGTTTTTTAAAGCAATGTCATTTTCGGCCGGGCGCGGTGGCTCACGCCTGTAATCCCAGCACTTTGGGAAGCTGAGGCAGACGGATCACAAGGTCGGGAGATCGAGACCATCTTGGCTAACACGGTGAAACCCTGTCTCTACTAAAAATACAAAAAATTAGCCGGGCATGGTGGTGGCTGCCTGTAATCCCAGCTACTCAGGAGGCTGAGGCAGGAGAATGGCGAGAACCCGGGAGGCGGAGCTTGCAGTGAGCCGAGATTGTGCCACTGCACTCCAGCCTGGGTGACAGAGCGAGACTCTGTCTCAAAATAAATAAATACATAAATAAATAAATAAATAAATAAAGCAATATCATTTTCACAGGGAACGTTACCTAGGAACCTTGCTACAGGTAGAAGGGATGTTAAAGACTTGGTTTCCACATATAGCTGCCCAGAAGTCGTCATTGAGTGGTGGCAAGCATCAGCTGACCAAGGTAGGAACTTAAGAACATGAGGAAGTGGTGGGAAAATAGCCAAGGAAATGAAATGTGCATGCAGAAATGTCCCCTTTTGCCATTTTCTTTTGAATCTTTTCTTCAAGTTTCTTTTCAGGGAAGGAAATTCCTAAACTTTCTGCATTGTCTTGATTCCTATATGTTTTTTGTTGTTTGTTTGTTTGTTGTTGTTTTGTTTGAATCACTGAGAAGAACTCCATGAAGTTTAATCCTATCCCTCATGCCACAGCTTGTCTGCTTTCTGCATAGATACAAAAGGCTTTTTACCTGGCCAAATGATTCATGCGGGAAGATACCTCAGCTTCTCTCTGCAAACTCTTTTTTCCCTACTACCCCCAAACCCTTCCCCTCTCCTTCTTTTCATTTCTGCCCAAGTATCCTTGTGCCAAACCCTTAGAAAGTTTTTGAGTCTACACTGGGTTTCAAGGGCTGGTCATAAGAGGTACATCACTGGAAGTGGGAGAGGGGGGCACTAATAGCAGCAGTGTTGATAGATTCTTAGACCTGGTACAGAAGTGACCTATTTTCGGCTGGGCACGGTGACTCACACCTGTAATCCCAGCACTTTGGGAGGCCGAGGTGCATGGATCATGAGGTCAGGAGTTCGAGACCAGCCTGGCCAAGATGGCGAAACCCTGTCTCTACTAAAAATACAAAAATTTGCCGGGCGTGGTGGCGGACGCCTGTAGTCCCAGCTACTTGGGAGGCTGAGGCAGGAGAATTGCTTGAACCCGGGAGGCAGAAGTTGCGGTGAGCCGAGATCACGCCATTGCACTCCAGCCTGGGCAACAAGAGTGAAACTCTATCTAAAAAAAAAAAAAAAAAGAAATGACCTATTTTCTGTCCTCAAATAATAGGGTATATAGAGGGCATTCAAATGATGGAGAAGGAGAGTCTCCTGTAGATAATCACCAGTCCTAATTTTCAGTCAGCATGGTTATTATTGCTGTGACTCATCTATTAAAAAATAAGTAGGCCAGGCACAGTGGTTCACGCCTGTAATCTTAGCATTTTGGGAGGCCAAAGCAGGTGGATTGCTTGAGCCCAGGAGTTTGAGACCAGCCTGGGCAACATGGTGAAGCCCAGTATCTACAAAAAATACAAAAAGTAGCTGGGCATGGTGGTGTGCGCCAGTAGTCCCAGCTACTTAGGAGGCTGAGGTGGGAGGATCTCTTGAGCTTGGGAGGTCGAGGCTGCAGTAAGCCATGATTGTGCTAGCCTGGTTGACAGAGTGAGACCCTGTGTCAAATATAAAATTAAAAAAATATATAGGAGGAGGATCTTGCCTGAATATTAATTTACGCTTCTTAAAGAACTCAAGATAGAATATTCAAATTTAAATACAGAATTTGGGAAATGATGATTCCAATTAAAAGTAGACTTCAAAGAAATTCTAAAAGGGATTATTTTATAAATAGTGAGAACCTATGGAACTGTTTGTTTTTTGTTCATCTCTGGATATCCAGTGTCTAATATAGTATGTGGTCCATAATAGACCATTTATTTTTTGAATAAATGAAAGTATAATTTAGTTACTAAAACTTTTACTTAATCATGGCCTGGCAAGATCATATCTGCTGCGTAAAACGAGGTATGTTTGTATTACAAACTGAGTTCCCAAGGAATGCAAAGGTTTAAGTAACCGGGTGGAGCTCATCTGAAAGCTTTCTCCACATTTATTTTTCTCATTTCTCCCCTCCGTAGCATTTTCCAAGCCACCACAGTGATTCAGCCGCTTCCTCTCCTGCATCTCCTATGGAAAAGATGGACCAGACACAGCTAGGACATCTAGCTTTAAAACCAAAGCAGCCTTGGCACCTCACAGAATGGCCAGCTATGAACCTTACCTGGATCCACACCACTCCAATTTGCAACCCCCCTCTCAGCTCCCCAGGTACTATCTCCTTTAGCCATGGTCCTTTAGGCACTGGAACCGGTATTGGCGTCATTCTTTTCCTACAGCATGGAGTGCAACCCTTCACCCACTCTGCCCCAGCCACTCCAGTCCCACCTACTACAGCATCTCCTGTCATCCCTGGTGAGCCTATGAAACTATCTGGAGAGGGGCCTCGTTGCTACAGTTTGCCAGTAACTCTCCCATCAGACTGGAGCTATACCCTATCCCCTCCCAGTCTACCCACCTTGGCCAGGGAGATGACCAAAGGACACCGGGAGCAGCAGAGAAGCCATGCTCCAGTTGCTCCTGATGCTCATCTTCTCAACCTCTAGCCCGGGGCATACAGCTGTCCACTGTGATTTCTAATTTGTGTAAATATTCATGTATATATGTATTTTTACTTTTAATGTGTGCATTTGTGTTGAGGGAAGACAAATCCTTTCTGATTAAAGAAATTTTTTTATACCTAAACAGTTTGCTGATTGGGGGAAATTGAAAACTTTCTGCCTCCAAAACCAATCCGTATCCTCTGAGCTGCAGTAAAAGTAGAAAAGGGATGGGGATGTTTGTGAACATGAGCTCTACCAAGTTAGAGTCTGGATGACAATATAAGACTTATGGGAGAAGGGGACTCTACTGCTATTTTCCTAGGGAACATCCTTGAAACAGAGTTCAGATTTGGGTTTATGGGTTTTTTTTGTTGTTGTGTTTTGAGATGCAGTCTCGCTCTGTTTCCCAGGCTAGAGTGCAGTGACACAATCTCGGCTCACTGCAACCTCTGCCTCCTGGGTTCAAGCGATTTTCAGGCCTTAGTCTCCTGAGTAGCTGGGGTTACAGCACATGCTACCATGCCTAGCTAATTTTTGTATTTTTGTAGATATGGGGTTTCACTACACGTTGGCCAGGATGGTCTCGAACTCCTGACCTCAAGTGATTCGCCCACCTCAGCCTCCCAAAGTGCTGGGATTATAGGTGTAAGCCCTGGCGCCCGGCCGGGTTTATGTTTTCATTCAGGCTTAGACACTATACCTTTCCCTTTGTTTTGACACCTTTGTAATCTTCCAGCTGGCCCAGACTTGCAGGTTCTGCTCTGGGCTAGCTCTTTGCTTTGATGGGAGCTGTTGATGCCTGTAGTAAACACATATGTAGGTTTCTGCTGCCAGAGGAGGAACACAAGAGCCAAAACAGCCACTGTGGTTGCCAGTTGTAAAGAGGAAAGGGCTCCCTAGAATTGTCAGACTTGGGAACACCTCAAGACACTAGGCTTCATACTTACTCAAAAAGCTGCAGCTAGGCCAGGCACAGTGGCTCATGCCTGTAATCCCAGCACTTCGGGAGGTTGAGGTGGGCAGATCACTTGTGGTTAGGAGTTTGAGACAAGCCGTGGCCAACATGGTGAAACCCTGTCTCTACTAAAAATATTATAAAATGAACCGGGCATGGTGGTGGGTGCCTGTAATCCAAGGTACTCGGGAGGCTGAGGCAGGAGAATCACTTGAACCTGGAAAGTGGAGGTTGTAGTGAGCCCAGATCACGTCACTGCCCTCCAGCCTGGGCGACAGAGTGAGACTCTGTCTCAAAAAAAAAAAAAAGAAAAAAAGCTGCAGGTGCTAGATGTATGCTGGACTAAGGAAGGCAACTCAGTGTTAGGAGGAGGCAAAAATGAAGACCACGAATGGATCTATAACTACCCTTGTTTGTATATTACCCTCTTTCTGATTTGTCTCACTTTCCACCAAAACCATTTCCTCTCCCATCCTAATCCTTTGTAGTGCATCAGGCTTCTCTGACAACTTAGTCATTGCTTTTTGCTCTTTAGTGTGATTCTCAAAGGTAGTTACACATCTTTCACCCATTCTCAAGTCTTCTGTTCTCAGGGAATAATTGCCTCCCCTTATTTTCAGAGAATATGACCTCCTTTTAAAGGCAAACCTATCGATCTGTGCTTCTGATTACCTTCACCCCTGGAACTTTTGCTGTGTCACATATCCCCTCTTTATCTTGTAACTTCAGTTTGTCCCAACAACATTTATTTGTCCAAGTATCACAAGTATGATCAGACTAGAGTGGTGGCAATGGAATGCTTTGATTACAAATATGATCAGATCCTTCCTCCTTGAAAACATATCTTAAGACTGATTGTCCTCTTATTTTCTCCATAATTCTCGACAAGGTAGTCTATTTATACTCTTTCTGATTCCTTTCTGCCACTCAGTCCTTAACCTCTTGCAGCCTAGCTTCCACTGCTTTCACTTTGTTGCACCTTCCAAAGTTACTAATGAGCCCACAGAACCAGTATTATAATCTAGCTTCCTTCTAATCAACAGCTATACCCTTTACAAAGGCTATGTACATTATGCTGTCTGTATCATTTGACACTCGATGCTGCCTACTGAAACACTCCGCCCTCAGATCCCATGACAGCACACTATCCTAATCCTCCTCTTACCTATCTGGCAGCAATGTCTAGGTCTCTTAAGGGCCCCACTTCAACCTACTCCAAAGTGTGGGTGTTCCCCTAGGCTCAGGCCTTGGCCCTTTTCTCTGACTACATTCTTTTGTGGTTTTAATTATTGCTTCAACTTAGAAGACTGCTACAGCTTTATCTCTAGTCCCAATCTTTCCCGAGATGGCATACTGAGTGTTTAAGTTTCTGTTGGACAGTTTTATTTACATATTGCTGATACTTAAACATTATTGAAACTTTCAGTGTTTTAGAGCCAAGACATGCCTCTTGGCTGGGCACGGTGGCTCACGCCTATAATCCCACCTGAGGCGGGTGGATCTCTGGAGGTCAGGAGTTCAAGACCAGCCTGGTTGACATGGGGAAACCCAGTCTCTACTAAAAATACAAAAATTAACTGGGTGTGGTGGTGCACATCTGTAATCCCAGCTACTCAGGAGGCTGAAGCACGAGAATTGCTTAAACCTGGGAGGCGGAGGTTGCAGTGAGCTGAGATTCACCACTGCATGCCAGCCTGGGTGACAGAGTAAGACTCCCTCTCAAAAAAAAAAAGAAAAATGCCTCTTGTACATCCAGTTCAACCCAACCTCCTCATTTGATACATAAAGAAACTTAGGGCCAGGCGCGGTGGCTCACGCCTGTAATCCCAGCACTTTGGGAGGCCAAGGCAGGTGGCCCACCTGAGGTCGGGAGTTCGAGACCAGCCTGACCAACATGGAGAAGCCCTGTCTGTACTAAAAATACAAAAAAAAATTTAAAAAATTAGCCAGGTGTGGTGGCGCATGCCTGCAATCCCAGCTACTCCGGAGGCTGAGGCAGGAGAATCCCTTGAACCTGGAAGGCAGAGGTTGCGGTGATCCGAGATTAAGCCATTGCACTCCAACCTGGGCAACAAGAGTGAAACTCTGTCTCAAAAAAAAAAAAAAAAAAGAAAAGGAAAAGAAAAGAAAAGAAATGAAACTTAGGAGACTTATCTAGGACAACATGATGTGTGGAACAGAACTTGGTTTCCAGTCTGATGTGTTTTGCAGTAATCACCAATCAAATTATTCTTTCCTGAAAACATGTCCTGCTACCACTTTTTTTTTTTTTTTTTTTTTTTTGAGACGGAGTCTCGCCATGTCACGCAGGCTGGAGTACAATGGTGCGATCCCGGCTCACCGCAACCTCTGCCTCCCAAATTCAAATGATTCTGCCTCAGCCTCCTGAGTAACTGGGATCACAGTCACCCACAACCACACCCAGCTATTTTTTGTATTTTTAGTAGAGACGGGGTTTCACCATGTTGGCCAGGCTGGTCTTGAACTCCTGACCTTGTGATCCACCCACCTCAGCCTCCCAATCCCATGCCTGCTGGGATTACAGGCATGAGCCACTGTGCCCGGCCAGCTACCAGTTTTTACAGTCTCCTCTTCTGTTAGTGCTACCTGTGGTATCGCTAGGTACTATAGTTTTTTGTTTTTTGTTTTTTCCTCTGGATAATTAGGCTTAAAATTTGGTGCCATATGGTCACCAAATCCTTTTTATTCTTTATTTGGAATATCTCTTAAAATCCATTTCTTCCTATCCATTCCATTGCCACCAGTCTGCTCTAGACTTCACTGTACCAATAGTCTCTCTTGCTTCTAATCCCTTTTCGCTGATAACCAGGTTAATTTTCCTAGAACAGTGCTTTGCATATCATATCCTATTCAAATTCTTCAATGGCTCTCCAATGCTTTGAGAAGAAAGTCCAAAATCTTTAATCACAGTCTCTATTTTTCCCTGTGCTCCCCTGCATGATCCCTCTGGTGCAGTTTTTTGTTTTTTGGTTTTTGTTTTTTTTTTTTTTGACTCCTTAACACTACACCTTTTTGCTCCTAAGCTCTTGTTCAAACCTTTCCTGCTTTGTTTCTGTTATCTAAACCCTGCCCTCTTTCAATGACTAACTCAAGTTCATCCTATCATTCTTTCTGTTAAACATGATCTATACGCTCAGTGTTTGGCCCTTTACTCCATTAAATGGAATCATGTACATAAAACACCTAGTGCAGGGTTTGGGGCCTGGTGGGGTGGCTCACGCTTGTAATCCTAGCACTTTGGGAGACCAGCCTGGGCAACGTAATGAAACTACTAAAAATACAAAAAATTAGTCTCTACTAAAAATACAAAAAATTAGCTGGGCATGGTGGCATGTCCCTGTAATCCCAGTTACTTGGGAGGCTGAGGTGGAAGGATCACCTGAGCCCAGGAGGTCCAGGCTGCAGTGAGCTATGGTCATGCCACTGCATTCTAGCCTGGGCAACAAGAGTGAGACTCTGCCTCAGAAAAACAAACAAAAACAAAAAACACCCACCTAGTACAGGGTTTAGTATATAGTAGGCTCTCAAAAATGTTACTCTTCAGCTGATCCAATGGTAGTGGTTAACAGAATTTATTAACATCAGTTCCTCTCCCTTCCTTTCTTTCAACGTATCTTAAGATATATATATATATATTTTTTGACACGGAGTCTCGCTCTGTCACCCAGGCTGGAGTGCAGTGCCACCATCTTAGCTCACTGCAGCCTCCACCTCCCAGGTTCAAGCAATTGTCTTGCCTTAGCCTCCCAAGTAGCTGAGACTACAGGCGAGCGCCATCACACCCAGCTGATTTTTTTGTATTTTTAGTACAGACAGGGTTTCACTGCGTTAGCCAAGATGGTCTTGATCTCCTGACCTCGTGATCCACCCGCCTTGGCCTCCCAAAGTGCTGGGATTACAGGCGTGAGCCACCGCGCCCGGTGTATCTTCATATTTTATTCTATTTGATTCCCACGACAAATTTTGTGAGACTGACAGGGCAAAATTAGTCCCATTTTAGACATGAGGAAATAGAGTGAGTCTGGCAACGGCCAGATAGTAAATATTTTAGGCTTTGTAGGCTTTATGTCTCTATTGCGACTACCCAACTCGGCCATTGTAGCCCAAAGCAGCCATACGTAATACACAGACAAATAAGCATGACTGTAGTTCAACAGTCTTATTTACAAAAACGGGTGGAGCAGGATTTCACCTGTAGACAGTAGTCTCCAGACCCCTGGTTTTAAATGACTTATTCAAGGTCATAGGCCTGATGAGTATTAGAATTGAGATAGAATCCAGATCTCCCAACTTTGAAGCCAGTGCCTTTCACCACATTACGCTGTGGCATATTTTATTTATTATTTGTTTATTTTTTGAAATGGAGTTTCACTCTTGTTGCCCAGGCTGGAGTGCAATGGTGCGATCTCGGCCCACTGCAACCTCCACCTCCCAGGTTCAAGTGATTCTCCTGCCTCAGCCTCCCAAGTAGCTGGGATTACAGGCATGCAGCACCACGCCTGGCTAATTTTGTATTTTTTAGTAGAGACAGGGTTTCACCATGTTGACCAGGCTGGTCTCGAATTCCTGACCTCAGGTGATCTACCCGCCTCAGCCTCCCAAAGTGATGGGATTACAGGCGTGTGCCACCGTGCCCGGCCCTATTTATTTATTTGTTTGTTTGTTTATATTTAATTTTTCGAGACAGGGTCTCACACTATTGCCCAGGCCAGGGTGCAGTGGTGTGATCACAGCTCGCTGCAGCCTTGACCTCCCAGACTCAGGTGATCCTCCCCCTCAGCCTCCCAAGTAGCTGGGATGACAGGTCATGCCACCATACCCAGCTAATTTCTGTATTTTTTATAAAGATAGGAGTTTTGCTTTGTTGCCCAGGCTGGTCTCGAACTCCTGGGCTCCAGTGATCCACCAGTGTTGGCCTTTCAAAGTGCTGGGATTACAGGCGTGAGCCACCGTGCCCAGCCCACATAATTTATTTTGCGTTTATTATATACTACCTCGTTTTAGTATCTTTTATGTCTATATACCATCTCCTAGTGGTCCAGGAGGCACTAGAGTGGTATCAACAGTATCTGACACGGAGTAATCATTCAGTGAAAGTTTATTGACAAGCATAATAATGTCGCAATCTAGTTCTATTTCGTTACTTTGGACCTGGCTTACTCTGAGGTGGGCTTAAGTGTTTGTGTGAGTTATTAGCATTAACTGAGGAGGATGCACACGCCTGTGCGTGTGTGTGTGTGCGCGCGCGCGCACTGTCTAAGGGAGGTACGTTTCCCACAGCCATTAGATGTTAAGTTACGTGCATAACCATAAATGGATATGTATAGGTAGCATACAAGTAAGAGGACGGGTGTCTCCACAGTGGAGAAGAAATTTAAAAGAAGCTTTTTCAGTAGGTCTCACTAGCACAAAAAGGCATAGAAGCTGACATAATTTTGTAGTCTAAACCCTGCAGGTGTTTCCCATATATTTATTGGTTTCACTTTATGTAGTTAAATTAGTGGGAAGATGATATAGGCAACTCACAGTGTGTTTATTTCTTTTCCTTAGCACTTAGGCAGACGACGTGTATGAATCAATCTATTTTTCGTCCGGAGAGATTTCAAAGAGTCTGTCCTTTCCTAAGAAAAGACAGGAAGCATCCTCAGGAAGCGCCTGCTTCTCTCGTTTTCCATCGAGAAAGAGGAATGGCTCAAATATTTATCAAGGATTTCACAGGATTAAGGCGTATGAAATGGGGCTGACCTTCTCAGAGGCCGAAGGACTTCGACTCCATGAGAGGGCGAGAAACGTGTTTCGGGGGAATTTAAAAAGTCAATTAGTATTTTGCTTTGTCAGGTGTAGAGTCCAGGCCCGGGGAAGAGCGGCAGCCAAGCGAGGCCATAAAGGACGTTGCTATGGTTTCCACGCACGTCGTCTCCCTCAGCCTGTTTCTTTGCGCGGCGCTGGCGATTCCGTAGTTTCCGCTTCCGGTAGTGAGGAGGCCAGGTGAGGAGCTGTGCAGGGTTTGGGTGAAGGAAGGCTGGCTTGGCGAGAGGGCAGGTTTGCGGGCTTTCGCCTGCTTTTCCAAAGACCAACAAAGAGCCCTTTCCTAACTCTCAACCCAACCGCTTTTGGAACTATGCGGTGGTTGGGACCCTGTGGCGCTTCTTTGTCGCTCCTGTCCTTCCCATGCCCGGCTACCATCTCTTTTCTTCTCTATGCGAGGGTTTGAATTGGCAGTGAGAATGAGAGATAACGATTCGCGTCTACTTTCTAGGATGACTTCTGTGTGCTCCATCTCGCGCGTCCCTGAGCATGTTGAATTTCCAAATCCTAAATAAGCCGCGCGGTGTAGTTTGTATTATGTTGCGTTTCTCTTTCTAATTTCCTCACCTTTTCTCCGTCATCCTTTAGGCTCTACAGAGTGAAGGTTTAAATCCAAGGTCATGGCAAAACATCTGAAGTTCATCGCCAGGACTGTGATGGTACAGGAAGGGAACGTGGAAAGTGCATACAGGATCCTAAACAGGTAACTGTTAAGGGACCAGAATCATGCCTAGACTCTCTAGGAAGTGCGGTGGTTATTCTCTTCCTTCCCCTTTCGTTGATTATTCTCAAAGCAGTGCCAGCCCAGGTGTTCACAGTCTCTTAAAACGTCTCAGTCCCTCAGTTTATTATCTTAAAAATGAAGTTCTGGGCCGGGCGCGGTGGCTCACGCCTGTAATCCCAGCACTTTGGGAGGCCGAGGCGGGTGCATCACATGAGGTCAGGAGTTTCAGACCAGCCTGGCCAACATGGTGAAACCCCATCTCTACTAAAAATACAAGGCGTCGTGGCAGGCACCTGTAATCTCAGCTACTCGAGAGTCTGAGGCAGGAGAATCGCTTGAACCCGGGAGGCAGAGTTGCAGTGAGCCGAGATCGAGCACAGCACTGCAGCCTGGCAACAGAGTGAGAAAAAAAAAAAAGAAAAGAAAAGAAAAAAAAGTTGTTCCTCAAACCTAACTGTATGAATCTTATTCAACAAGTAATCACTCCCCTCCACCTCTCCGCTTTTAATTTAATTTAATTTAATTTTTTTGAGATGGAGCCTCTCTCTCACCCAGGCTGGAGTGCAGTGGCACAATCTCGGCTCACTGCAAGCTCCACCTCCCGGGTTCATGCCATTCTCCTGCCTCTGCCTCCCGAGCAGCTGGGACTACAGGTGCCCGCCACCACACCCGGTTAATTTTTGTATTTTTAGTAGAGACGGGGTTTTACCTTGTTCGCCAGGATGGTCTCGATCTCCTGACCTAAAGTGATCCACCCGCCTCTGCCTCCCAAAGTGCTGGGATTACAGGCTGAGCCACTGCGCCCGGCCCCACTTTTTAAATTGAGACAGGGTCTTGCTGTGTCGCTCAGTAACCCTCCCGCCTCAGTCTCCTGAGTAGCTGGGTCTAGCCGCGCACGCCACCACCGCAGTTAATTTTTGTATTTTCTGTACAGAGGGAGTCTTGCCATGTTGCCCAAGCGTAATCACTCCTTTTATGCGGAACCTGAATTCTTTCGAAGACTTAAAAAAGAGCCCAAAGGGAAAATCAAGATGTGAAATTGCTAGGAAGCAGGAACATAGTATGATAAATAGAAAGTTGAGAGAGGTATTGGTGTGGGACAAAGCTAAAGGAAATGGTAAATTCAGCTTGGGATCTTAGAGAAGCAGGCCAAAGATGGGAAAGCTGGCTGGGTGGGATGACTCACACCTGTAATCCTAGCATTTTGGGAGGCCCAGTAAGGGAGGATTGCTTTTTGCCAAGAGTTCAAGACCAATCTGGTAAACATAGCAAGAGCCCATTTCTAAAAATATTAAATAAGAAGAAAGGGAAAAAAAAGAAAGATTGGAAAGCTTACAAGTTTTGAGAAAAGATACAGCATAAGGAAAAATACATAAATGGAAACGAACTAGCTGGGGTGGAGGAGCTTTATAGCTTTATTGAAAATTTTTGAATGCCAGGCTAAAAGATGTAGAAGAGCCCTAATAATACTTTTTTTTGCTCTGTTGCCAGGCTGGGGCACAGTGGCACAGTCTTGACTCACTGCAACCTCTGCCTCCTGGGTTCAAGTGACTCTCCTGCCTCAGCCTCCCGAATAGCTGGGACTACACGTGCCCGCCACCATGCCTGACTGATTTTTGTATTTTTAGTAGTGACGGGGTTTCACCATGTTGTCCAGGATGGTCTCAATCTCCTGGCCTTGTGATCTACCCGCCTCAGCCTTCCAAGATGCTGGGATTACAGGCGTGAGCCGCTGCACCCGGCCCAGCCCTAGTAATACTTTACCACTGATTTCTCAAGCAAAAAGTTCTTAGCCTTCCCTTCTCACCAGTTGTGTGGATTTTGACTTTCTGGTATGACTCACTCATTTTCTTTCCCCAGTGTGAAGTAACTTTTGGAGAAACAAACGCTTGTTGAGTTGAATTATCAAATAATTGTAAGGAAGGGGCTCCTGTAGTCCCAGCTGCTCCAGAGGCTGAGGCAGGAGGATTGCTTGAACCCAGGAGTCCAAGACTGTAGTGTGAGTGCACTCTTGTGCCTGTGAATAACCACTCCACTGTAACCTAGGAAGCATAGTGAGACCACGTCTCTTAAAAAAAAATGTAGGAAAGATATTGCCTTAAGGCCTTTAATGTGGTAGCTTTATTTCACAAGTAAGGGAAGCCTTGGAAGATCAGATTATCTTTATTGGGTTATGCAATTACTGAATGGTGGAGAGGATCCTAAAGCACATCTTTTGAATGCAATGTTCTTTAATAATAGATTATTTACTAGTCTTACTAGAAATGGAGAGACTTACGGTAGTTCATTTTCCAATTTAGAATCCTTATCTTACCATTTCAGTGGTGTAGCTTTAAAAAAAAAAACCCAGAATCCTTATCTGATTGGGTTTAAATATCGGTAGGGTTCTTGAGGACTGAGAGGGCAAAGGAAAGGGAACCTAGTTCTTAGCAAAGCAGAGAGTTCTAGGTGTAGAAGGTCGGATGGCAGAAGACCACAGTTAGTGAGGAAAAAAATGCTGTCAGAAGCTGTGTAAATGAGAAGCAGTTCCAGGCTCAGAATGGTTTATATGTCTTTTAAAAGGATCTTGTCTTAGGGTCAGGCGTGGTGGCTTATGCCTGTAATCCCAGCACTTTGGGAGGCTGAGGCGAGTGGATCACCTGAGGTCAGGAGTTCAATACCAGCCTGGCCAACAGGGTGAAACCCCGTCTCTACTAAATATATAAAATTAGCCGGATGTGGTGGCAGGTACCTGTAATCTCAGCTACTTGGGAGGCTGAGGCAGGAGAATCACTTGAACCTGGGAAGCGGAGGCTGCAGTGAGCCACAATTATGCCACTGCATTCCAGTCTAGGCCACAGAGTAAGACTAAAAAAAAAATAAAAAATCTGGGGTCAGCTGCATCACCTCATTCTATGTGCATAACAATCATATCCTTGGCCTGAAGCTGTTCCCTCTACATTGTCACTTACGCTGTAAGTAAAGATAAGTACCAGGTTGTAAGGTATCCTGTTTCATTTTTCTCTCTTTCTCCTCATTCCCAACTCTCCTATTTCAGACCTTCTGGTGGCATGTCTGAGAAGTATATTATGTCTGATGACCTTTCTCTGCCCCTATCTTACTATCTTGGAAGTAACAATATGAACGACTTTTTTTTTCTTTTTTTTTTTGGAGACAGAGTTTCGCTCTTGTTGCCCAGACTGGAGTGCAATGGTGCCATCTCGGCTCACCACAACCTCTGCCTCGTAGGTTCAAACGATTCTCCTGCCTCAGCCTTCTGAGTAGCTGGGATTACAGGCATGCGCCACCACACCTGGCTAATTTTCTATTTTCACTAGAGATGGGGTTTCTCCGTGTTGGTCAGGCTGGTCTCAAACTCCTGATCTCATGTGATCCACCCGCCTTGGCCTCCCAAAGTGCTGGGATTACAGGCTTGAGCCACTGCACCCAGCCTAAAATGAACGTCTTTATAGGTAACATCCAGACCCTGTAGTGAGTTAGCTAGTGAGATGAATGTTGAATTTAGGAAAAGGCATGTGTTATGTATAACTTCACTTTTTTTTTCTGACTTCTCCCTGTAAATCTTTTTCTGTATGATTTATTTTGGTAGATTTAGATGGGTCTTCTGGCCATGGTTGTTGAGATGTTTATATTATTGAAAGATCAAAGGATAGCTGTTACTTAATGGTAAACAAATTTCCATAAGGCTCTGTTTTAGTTCCCTTATTCCTAAAGTGTAGCTAACACAAAAACAAGAATTTTGTTTTTAGAAAATTAGCTACTTTGACAAAGAACAACAAAATTTGTGGTATAGTATTATTTACTGAACCACTTCTTTTATTTATTTATTTATTTGAGATGGAGTCTCCCTCTGTCGCTCAGGCTGGAGTGCAGTGGTGTAGTCTCAGCTCACTGTGACCTCCGCCTCCCAGGTTCAAGCGATTCTCCTGCCTCAGCCTTCCGACTAGCTGGGACTACAGGCGCATGCCACCACCCCAGCTAATTTTTTGTATTTTTAGTAGAGACGGGGTTTCACCGTGTTAGCCAGAATGGTCTCGATCTCCTGACCTCGTGATCTGCCCGCCTCGGCCTCCCAAAGTGCTGGGATTACAGGCGTGAGCCACCATGTCCAGCTGAACCACTTCTTACAGTTGTATCAAGAGAGTAGTGGCTGGGTGCAGTGCCTCACTCAAGTATTCTCAGCACTTTGGGAGGCAGAGGAAGCTGTATCTCTTGAGGCCAGGAGTTCAAGACTAGCCTGGCCAACATGGCAAAACCCGGTCTTTACTAAAAATACAAAAATTAGCTGTGCATGGTGGCACAGGTCTGTAATCCCAGCCACTCGGGAGGCTGAGGCAGAAGAACTGCTTGAACCTGGGAGACAGAGACTGCAGTGATGCCCCATATCATATATGGAATGCATCCCCATTTACACTTACAATTTGAAACAAAGAATCTGAGAAACAAAATATTTCTCATCTCCTTCCTGATTATCTCTTCATTGATACCAGGTTTGCAGAAAACATAAGGCCAGCTCTTATTTTTTGAGAGAAGACTCTCTTCTTACTTCTTTGTCTAAGGTTGTCTATACCCCTTTATATATGCCTCTTTTAAAAATCCTTTCAGCCACTATATTTTTAATTTAATCAACACTCAGTTTTTGCTTTTCCTGGTTTTTTTCTGTTTTTTGTTTGTTTGAGACGAAGTCTCGCTCTTGTCCCCCAGGCTGGAGTGCAATAGCGTGATCTAAGCTCACTGCAACCTCCGCCTCCTGGGTTCAAGTGATTCTCCTGCCTCAGCCCCTCAAGTAGTTGGGATTACAGGCGCCTGCCACCATGCCTGGCTAGTTTTGGTATTTTTAGTAGAGACAGGGTTTCACCATGTTGGCCAGGCTGGTCTCGAACTCCTGACGACCACAGGTGATCCACCCATCTCGGCCTCCCAAAATGCTGGAATTACAGGCGTGAGCCACAACACCCAGCGCACATACTACTTTT